CAATTTTCGTAAAAATTCTATTTAAAAAATTTTATTTTATCGCTCTGTATCTCGAAAACAAGAGGAGATAGACATATAGTTCACATCACAATAATTCTTATTTTTTATCGTATATCACCCCTGTATTTACGGGAGGTCTTTCTGAAAGACTTTGTATATTCATATGTAAAAAATCAGAAAAAGTTGGAATTTAATTGATGCAAATTATAGGAATTACTTAGGTATATTCGAGATTAGAGTATGCAATGGTTGGATTTTTATGATGAATATTGCGTGTTGGCAGTGGCGTATACAAGCAGTCTAGGAGGGATCTTACTAAGTCAATTAAAATGCTAGTTTTTAGGTAAAAGAGGCTTGTGTTTATATAAAATTTTGATATTCAAAGAAAAAAATATCTTATAAGTAAAAAAGGTATATTAGTAAATGCACATATCCGTGTATCCACTACATGGACATGCACAGCCACAGTAACAGCTTTTAAAATTACTATTGAGAAAAGATTTTTTTTTCATTTACCTGTAAATATCTAAAAACATTATTATTAACAATCGAAAATAAGGAAAATTTTCTCTTCGCGATTCAAAATCATTCTGTAATATCATGAGCAATACAACCATTACAGATGTACACCCCTGCCATCGAGTTTGAGACCAACTGCTCTGATTTTCACATACGCCACTGTAGTGCAATGCGATAAAAATGTTTTATGAATATTAGGCCGGCCATAATAAAAATTGCAGCCTGACTCATGAATAAACAAAGACATATTACTTGCTGGTAAAACGTTCAGTTGATTTGTGGTTGTAGTGAGAAAAATGAAGTCTGGAAAGCGCTCCGGAAAAAGTAAATATTTTTAGTTTATTTAATGGTGTTAATCTTGCAAATGTTCAATATGCAGTTTTTATTAGCTACTACCAAAATTTTATTATATCAAATCTGCAAGAATTGTAGGTGTACTTTTTGCGTCTAGTTTATTTATACTTAAAATTTTAAAATTATAATTTGTGCTTAGATTTAGGATTATGTCGAACATGTTATTTCAACAATTATCTGCGTTTTTTATATTTTATTGTGGTCGGAATCGCATAAGAAGAAATATTTATTATTTATTATTATTTCTAGAATGTTTTTTTTATTAAGCACGATGTTCCCTAAATGGTTGGCTGATACGAAATAATGGAATCCTAATCCAATGGTCTTCCTCCTTCAATATTTCATTTCAAATTTATTGAAAACCTTTTTTTTTAACTCATATATGCGAAAATAAGGATTTTTTTCACTACTCATACGATAAGGTGATAATTTTTTTTGTTAAGGTGAAATAATTATTTTTGACTTTTAAAATAAAAATGAAAGAGACAAGTTTGTAATTTTCTTAATTGAACATTAAAACTAACTAAATTCTCTATTCAATTAAATATGTTATGTGAGACCATACATAAAATCTACCAAAGATTCCATCATTTCAATTTTTCCAACCATTCCTGTGACACCCTGTAAGCTCTTAGAGAAGCCAACAGTTATGATTTAAATTTAATCAAATTATGCAGTTTATATGTATCCATCAAATCAAGGTAACTGTGCAACTGGAAACAAGCACTAAATCACAGTTTTTCAGTTACTTACCAATAAAAACATCCATTTTTCTGATCTGGCGTCAATTGATTGAATTTACTCAATTTTATCCTACATTAATTATATAGTAAATATTGGTAGGCACATGTAATAAAAATAGGAATACATTGAAGATATTTTGCTCACATATACCTATGTAGAAATGACAAATTGATTTTATATACAGGGTGTTTCAGAAAGACCTCCCGTAAATTCAGGAGGCTGATTGATAGTAAGACAAAAAATAAGAATTTTTTGTCTTATGAACTATATGTCTATCTCGACTGTAATTAGTCATTACTAACTACAGTCAATAATTTTGATTAGTTTGAAATATTACTGAGAATGTATGCGTTGTTTATGAGACATCCACCAATAAGTTGGTGCCTACTTTGAGAAAAGTCACCTCTTCTTCACCGTAATATTGTAAGAGTTCAATTAAAAACCTTTTTCTCGAAAACCGTCCACATTAGGAAGTTCTGACAATAGTACATTATTTTTAGAAAATAAAATTGTACATTAGAAATTGGAGCCCGAATAGTAAAAAACCTAACCTTTAAAAAATTTGAACCTAAAATGTAATAGGAACGTAGCGTAACTAGCGCCTTCTATGAAATATCCAAAAAATAATTAGACCAGCGTATTTGGCGTCCTTAGAAATCCCGGAATACCAAATTTCATAAAAATATTTTGCACCGTTTGGAAATTTTCGTAAATATTCTATTTAAAACATTTTATTTTGTCGCTCTGTATCTCGAAAACAAGAGGAGATAGACATATAGTTCATAAAACAAAAAAAATCTTATTTTTTGTCGTACTATCACCCCTTGAATTTACGGGAGGTCTTTCTGAAACACTCTGTTTAATACATTATATACAGGGTGATTCAGAACTTATCAAAAAAAAATCTGGATGTACAGGGGACTCTTACACATACAATTTTGTAAAGAAAAAATCAAAAAGGGCAATTCGAAAATTATTTAAAAATATACTTCTGCACGGCACTGGAAACTGGTCCACTGTAAAACCTGACCTGGCGCAATGCGACCGTCACGGCGATAGTGATACAAACGGGCAAAAACTTGAAAGAATTTCGCAAGGAAAAGAATAAATAGAATTTTATAGCACTTATTTTATATCAGCAAACTCAACTAATTTTGTTCAAATTAATTTGTGGTTTTAAATAAAATAATTTGACATACCTGATGTTACAACAACTGTTCAAAATTTTGTCCACCGACGTGTAAACACATTTGAGTCCGTTTGACTCAGTTTCTATGAACTAACACAAATGCTGTCTTGTTTCACCATAACACAAATGCTTCACCATAATAAAAATGTTTTCTTGCTTCACCATAAACTAAAACGATATCCATCAACTCCAAGTTGTTATACACGCAAGCCATTTTTGACACTAACTACTAAAAAACTATTGTAAACATCGGATTTGGTTTGGTTGAAAACACTACAACTTTAATATTTTTTTCTGGGAAACTATAAGGATTTTACATTTTTACAATATTGACTCCATTTCTCATGCCGCATCTATTTTCAAAATTTTTTGGATAAGTTGTGAATCACCCTGTATAGTAGTGCATACTAGTCGTTGCTAGAGTTAAAAGGAATAATATGAGTTAGAGTCAAATTTTAATTATTGTAACGAAAAATTAGTTTGGATGAACAAAATAATCGTTACATGTTTACAAAGAAAAATGGTTGTGTTTAAGCATTGAAGCATGTAAAATTATCATTTTTCTCCTGGTACACAGCTTTTATCTCGTATGCATACATCGCAATATAATTTGGTTTCAAAATCTGATTCGAAAAAATTATTAATTCACTTTTCCATTGTAGCCTCCTACAAAACATTTTTTTGATTAAAGTAAACTATAAGTGTGGAACAGACTGACTTTTTTCTGCCTCATCTTCTAGACAGCCGACAAATTCTTATATTGCTTAATTTTTAATTATTATCTATTTAAAAAAATTTGAACTTTTTCACATTACTACACATTGATTTGTACAAAATTGCGCTTATATACAGGGTGATTCAAAATTCAGCACAAAGAATTTAGGGGCGTATTTTTGAGATCAAATTAAAACTTCTTTTAACTAGAAACGTGGGTATACAAATGCTTAGTTTTCAATATACAGGATGTTAAAAGTTCTACTTTTTTAAATTTTTTAAGAATAATTTTCATACAAATTTGAATATTGGCAAAAAACTTGCTGTACGGGTTTTATTTTTAGGATGCTAAATTTAAATATGACAATGGTTTTGACGTTTCATGTAGAGGGCGCCACCTATAAGGGTACGCTTGAATTAAATTGGCCCTAACTTTTTTGCTACCCTGTACATTGACCTAGTCGTTTATTCCCCTATCAATTTTAAGCAAAAAAGGTATACTTGGTCGAAATCTCTCAGGCCAACCGTTTTCGAGATGAAGATGAAGAGTTAAATGCACACCATATTTTCAAATTTTATTAACTAATGCACTAATACGAAACGTCAATGTACAGGGTAGCAAAAAAGTTAGGGTTAATTTAATTCAAACGTACCCTTATAGATGACGCCCTCTACAAGCAGCGTCAAAACCAATTGCGTATTTAAATTTAGCATTCTAAAAAACCCCCGTCTCCCAAGTTTTATGCCAACAATCAAACTTGTTTGGAAATTATTCCTAAAAAATAAAAAAAAATAAAATTTAACATCCTGTATATCGATAACTAAGCATTTGTGGACCCACGTTTATAGGAAAGACACGAAGACACTTTGAACCTGAAATGTACAGTGTGTTTCTTTATATTTTGTACCTCACCTACAACTGCTATTTTTGGGAAGAGAAAATACAATTGAATGTAAAAGCTGTACGAATTTTCCTAAAAAGGTTAAAAATAAACGGAGTCTTGTTTTTTAAATAGATATTTTTATATATTTGGAGAGACAACTTTCATACGATATGATAGCAATAAGGTTTGTGCCAAAAAAATAATATGTAAAAAATCTACAGGTTGCTGTATTTAAAAAGCGAAAGTGTGTTTATTTCGACATCTTTATAATCAATTGTTTTGATTTATACGAAATGCAGATGTTTCAGGAAAATTTATGCATCCATACTTATTTTTTCTCCAAAAAACAGCTGTAAGTGAAGTGAAAATACGGGTCTACCAAATTGCACACGCCAAATTTCACCTGGTCAGAGAACACATCAAAATAAATGTTAATGTTTTCTTTTTTCGAGGTCCTATTACCAAGAAACATTTAGTGTGTCCAATTCAGGACAACCTGTATAGACAAACAGACAAACACACTGCATCACGGAACTTAATAATAACTATCATACTGAAAGTAAAATATTGGATACATATTGTAGGTTTATTTTCAGGTTGCAAGATACCGGTCAGGTTTTGGATAGGATGCATGGTATTTTTGACAACGTACATTAATTATACGACTAGAGTGAACATGTCAATCAGTATTGTTTCTATGACTATGGGAAAAACCAAAGGAGTCCCTGAATGTAAGAGAGAAGATATAAAACCCGTTACAGAAGGGGGATCAACGACAACAGCTAAGCCTCTGCCAGATGTGAGTAACGCTTTAAAAGGTGACAAACATCTAGAGTTAAGGGATGACTGCTATATAGGATATTTGATAAATTTGTGTCATGATTTCAGGCGGTGATGTTTTTAGACCGAAAGGCCTCAATAAATAAATCAAGGGTTTAAAACCATTGTTTTTCGATACAGTACAGAAGAGACAGCGAGTTAATTTTTAAATGAATTTCCCCAGCCAAATTATTCGACATTGCTATTTTAACTGAAAACATATTCACGCTACTTTTTCAACTGGCATTTTTACGAGAAGCCAGTGACCATTAAAATGTTGTAATAGTAGGTAAAGTACTCAAAATGTAAATTCAGTTTGGTAATTTGATTATACCTACAATCAAAAATTTAAGCAACTGGATATTGCAACTTACGCTTTTGATTTTCAGTTTCTGCTATATTATGTATTAGACATTGTTTACAATTGTTATTGTTATTAAGAGCTTAGACTAATACCACAAAACAATGAGCTAGTACTCAAAAACATACAACAGAGGTAATACTACAGATAGTAAATTTAAAGATATTATGAATGAATTTTGAAATTGCTTCAGTTCAAAAATACAGCTGTAATTACTGATCCATGTATACTGTAGTTATAGGATATTAGAATTTACAAAATTAGTTCACAGTTATTCAAATTTGTCGAGACGTTTAATGTTGATATATGAAAATTGGGATAACAATATATTTAATATACATCAGGTCCAAGATAGTAGAAAGTGATATACGGGGTGATATTACTTTAAATACAGAAACTACAAGACTAGATTCTTTACTAAAAAATAAGTAGAGTTTGCGCTATAAACTTTTTTCCTGTGGGACTCAATATTCGAGATAAAGAGTGTTAAAGTTTACAAAAACATTTATTTTCTGCTATATCTTCATAAGTTGAATTGAAATTTACTACAGCGTATTTACTTAATTAGACCTTTTATTGAATCAAATATTAACCTTGTGGCTTTAACCAGTGGCGTGCTACTGGAGGTGCCGCCCCATTTTACTGAGAAAAAAATACGCCACTGGCGGTTTTTTGTAGAAATAATGTTACATTCAGGTACTATTGCATTAAATCAATATAAAATGTTTCTTGGTGTTTTTTAATAGTAGCAGCCGTTTAGGAGATATTTGGACTATTAATCGATTTATGTGACGAAAACCTCCTGGTGGTTTTTTGTAGAATTAATTTTATTTCTGGAAAAAAATATCAAATCTAAATAATAAAATAACAATAGCAAATAGGTCGAGTAAGTAATTAAGTAACGAGTCCTACAACAAGTGTCCAAAACGAAGTCCTTCCGCATCGATACACTTTTGTCATCTTCTAATCTAGTTATAGAAGAATTTCCCATAACATGATTTTCCCTGAGGAGATTACAATTTTCCTTTATTCTTTGCCACANAGGACAACCTTCATAGACAAACACACTGCATCACGGAACTTAATAATAACTATCATACTGAAAGTAAAATATTGGATACATAATGTAGGTTTATTTTCAGGTTGCAAGATACCGGTCAGGTTTTGGATAGGATGCATGGTATTTTTGACAACGTACATTAATTATACGACTAGAGTGAACATGTCAATCAGTATTGTTTCTATGACTATGGGAAAAACCAAAGGAGTCCCTGAATGTAAGAGAGAAGATATAAAATCCGTTACAGAAGGGGGATCAACGACAACAGCTAAGCCTCTGCCAGATGTGAGTAACGCTTTAAAAGGTGACAAACATCTAGAGTTAAGGGATGACTGCTATACAGGATATTTGATAAATTTGTGTCATGATTTCAGGCGGTGATGTTTTTAGACCGAAAGGCCTCAATAAATAAATCAAGGGTTTAAAACCATTGTTTTTCGATACAGTACAGAAGAGACAGCGAGTTAATTTTTAATTGAATTTCCCCAGCCAAATTATTCGACATTGCTATTTTAACTGAAAACATATTCACGCTACTTTTCAACTGGCATTTTTATGAGAAGCCAGTGACCATTAAAATGTTGTAATAGTAGGTAAAGTACTCAAAATGTAAATTCAGTTTGGTAATTTGATTATACCTACAATAAAATATTTAAGCAACTGGATATTGCAACTTACGCTTTTGATTTTCAGTTTCTGCTATATTATGTATTAGACATTGTTTACAATTGTTATTGTTATTAAGAGCTTAGACTAATACCACAAAACAATGAGCTAGTACTCAAAAACATACAACAGAGGTAATACTACAGATAGTAAATTTAAAGATATTATGAATGAATTTTGAAATTGCTTCAGTTCAAAAATACAGCTGTAATTACTGATCCATGTATACTGTAGTTATAGGATATTAGAATTTACAAAATTAGTTCACAGTTATTCAAATTTGTCGAGACGTTTAATGTTGATATATGAAAATTGGGATAACAATATATTTAATATACATCAGGTCCAAGATAGTAGAAAGTGATATACGGGGTGATACAACTTTAAATACAGAAACTACAGGACTAGATTCTTTACTAAAAAATAAGTAGAGTTTGCACTATAAACTTTTTTCCTGTGGGACTCGATATTCGAGATAAATGGTGTCAAAGTTTACAAAAAAACATTTATTTTCTGCTATATCTTCATAAGTTGAATTGAAATTTACTACAGCGTATTTACTTAATTATTGAATGAAATATTAACCTTGCGGCTTTAACCAGTGCCGTGCTACTGGAGGTGCCGCCCCATTTTACTAAGAAAAAAATACGCCACTGGCGGTCTTTTGTAGAAATAATGTTACATTCAGGTACTATTGCATTAAATGAATATAAAATGTTTCTTGGTGTTTTTTTAATAGTAGCAGCCGTTTAGGAGATATTTGGACTATTAATCGATTTATGTGATGAAAACCTCCTGATGTTTTTTTGTAGAAATAATTTTATTTCTGGAAAAAATATCAAATTTAAATAATAAAATAACAATAGCAAATAGGTCGAGTAAGTAACGAGTCCTACAACAAGTGTCCAAAACGAAGTCCTTCCGCATCGATACACTTTTGTCATCTTCTAATCTAGTTATAGAAGAATTTCCCATGACATGATTTTCCCTGAGGAGATTACAATCTTCCTTTATTCTTTGCCACAATTTCAATTTCTCTGAAAAATATGAACCGATGGGGTAGCAAAAAAAAAACATTTTATAAGTTTTTTTATTCTCTACAAAAGTCCTATTGNGATGACTGCTATACAGGATATTTGATAAATTTGTGTCATGATTTCAGGCGGTGATGTTTTTAGACCGAAAGGCCTCAATAAATAAATCAAGGGTTTAAAACCATTGTTTTTCGATACAGTACAGAAGAGACAGCGAGTTAATTTTTAAATGAATTTCCCCAGCCAAATTATTCGACATTGCTATTTTAACTGAAAACATATTCACGCTACTTTTTCAACTGGCATTTTTACGAGAAGCCAGTGACCATTAAAATGTTGTAATAGTAGGTAAAGTACTCAAAATGTAAATTCAGTTTGGTAATTTGATTATACCTACAATCAAAAATTTAAGCAACTGGATATTGCAACTTACGCTTTTGATTTTCAGTTTCTGCTATATTATGTATTAGACATTGTTTACAATTGTTATTGTTATTAAGAGCTTAGACTAATACCACAAAACAATGAGCTAGTACTCAAAAACATACAACAGAGGTAATACTACAGATAGTAAATTTAAAGATATTATGAATGAATTTTGAAATTGCTTCAGTTCAAAAATACAGCTGTAATTACTGATCCATGTATACTGTAGTTATAGGATATTAGAATTTACAAAATTAGTTCACAGTTATTCAAATTTGTCGAGACGTTTAATGTTGATATATGAAAATTGGGATAACAATATATTTAATATACATCAGGTCCAAGATAGTAGAAAGTGATATACGGGGTGATATTACTTTAAATACAGAAACTACAAGACTAGATTCTTTACTAAAAAATAAGTAGAGTTTGCGCTATAAACTTTTTTCCTGTGGGACTCAATATTCGAGATAAAGAGTGTTAAAGTTTACAAAAACATTTATTTTCTGCTATATCTTCATAAGTTGAATTGAAATTTACTACAGCGTATTTACTTAATTAGACCTTTTATTGAATCAAATATTAACCTTGTGGCTTTAACCAGTGGCGTGCTACTGGAGGTGCCGCCCCATTTTACTGAGAAAAAAATACGCCACTGGCGGTTTTTTGTAGAAATAATGTTACATTCAGGTACTATTGCATTAAATCAATATAAAATGTTTCTTGGTGTTTTTTAATAGTAGCAGCCGTTTAGGAGATATTTGGACTATTAATCGATTTATGTGACGAAAACCTCCTGGTGGTTTTTTGTAGAATTAATTTTATTTCTGGAAAAAAATATCAAATCTAAATAATAAAATAACAATAGCAAATAGGTCGAGTAAGTAATTAAGTAACGAGTCCTACAACAAGTGTCCAAAACGAAGTCCTTCCGCATCGATACACTTTTGTCATCTTCTAATCTAGTTATAGAAGAATTTCCCATAACATGATTTTCCCTGAGGAGATTACAATTTTCCTTTATTCTTTGCCACAATTCGTGTCGTGTTTAAAGTCCATCAAGGACTTTAGCTTCAGAAATAAATAAACAAATATAGTTATAATACTAAAACGAGATCATCGTAAAGCTTACTAACTGATAATGCAGACAAAAGATTTAAATTTTGCTGATGGATTTTAAACAAATATAAGTAGGTGGACTAAATTTGCGCATTACGGTCGCCAAATAAGTAAATTAACTCAAAAACGGCTGCTACTAATAAAAAAATACCAAGAATCACTTTTCATTTATTAGCACGTACAGTACCTGAATTTTAAATTATTTCTACAAAAAACTTTCGATTATTTCGGGCGACTTTCAAGGTAATTTTTAGCATTTTTCCTATCACCCAGGCGAAAATCCGAGATATACAAATAGGAGATTTTGTCGGCTACTTTGAGATGCCGTTTTCAGAATTTAAATCGGACCATTTTTGATAAATCGCCACGCTCGCTGTGCAAAAAACCCTAATTTGTTTATAATGCAATTGTGCAAAAACTATGCATCGGACAGAAATCATCTTGAGCACGATTAAACTACATATTATTATCTGTCATTTTCCGCAAGATTGTTTTTCCAGCTTCAAATTTGACGGAGGTATGAATTTTTGAAAAAAGGTCTATTTTATAGGTTTTTCCGGATTTTCTCTGAAAAAAATTAACCGACCGGGTCGCACAAAAAACCATTTTATAAGTTTTTTATTCTCTACAAAAGTCCTATTGAGGGTAAGACGATTAAAAAACAAAAAAATGTATTTTTTTGCAGTTTTTATAGTTTAAAAAAGATTGTTCACGACTTTGCTGGTGAAATCACTTTTCATTTACTAAGTATTTTTCAAAAGGTAATACATGAAATTTGTTGAAATATTTAAGTGTGCCAAAAAATCTATTGGTTGACCTATACATATAAACAATGTGTGTAAGAGAATTCGTTATCCACTATTCAATATATATCTGTGTACGTTTTGACGGGAACATGGCGGAAAGACATCAGAATAACCGGGAATATGATGGAATAACACGTAATACAGCGGAATAACCAAGAATATAATGAAACGAATAGAATAAAACGAAATATGGAAACAATATTATGAAATATTTTTATTCCGGTGTGTTTGGATTTTATTGGAATGATGGAATAATGCCGAATAACTCGGAATACATGGAATAACCTTTTCAATGTAGGTACAGATTCTCAAAGAAAATCATCACGGTAATTTTTTTTGACTTTATGGAAAGATTTCCCGAGAAAGTTATATGATATGAGAACTTCAAAAATTAATTTTTAGGAAAGACAATTAAATCTTACATCTTTGAAATCTATAAGATTTCTGATTCCATAAATATAAATATATCATCTGTTTTTGTCTTACCAGTTTTTTTCTAAATTAGAATTTTTGTGTAATGATTTATTATGTTGCATCACATCAAATCTGGAGCAGTCATCGTCATAGATAATGCGCCTTGCCATAGTTGACGCACAGAAAAATGTCAGCATTTGCATTGGGAAAAAGAGAAAACATGCAACGGTTGAATGAAAAAATATTAAATATAACTGCACGATTTTAAAAGTGCAATTACTGGCAATAGAAATATTAGAACAAAGTGAAATTTTATTAAAACGTCATAAAATGGTTAAATAGCCTTATAATCACTTTTGCAAAGTTTTACCAAAATCAAAAAAATGGACTATGGACGTTCTTGCAGTGTCAGAATTTTTGAACATATGCAGACTTAAATTAANTTACTGAGGGCCGGTTTTTCAATCGTTGGTTAACTCCTAACTTAAGGTTAACCATCACTTTATTTTCTTATGTTTTAGTGGAGAAGCAATAATTTTCATTTAACATGCAAGCTTTTAACAAAGAATGAATTTATAAATTCGTTTTTAACTTTTTTTCTTTACTAATCTATGAAAACTCCAATACAAAAAGTAACAATTAGTTAACCAGAGATTGAAAAACCGGCCCTAAGTGTTTTTCAAAAGGTAATACATGAAATTTGTTGAAATATTTAAGTGTGCCAAAAAAAATCTATTGGTTGACCTATACATATAAACAATGTGTGTAAGAGAATTTGTTATCCACTAGTCAATATACAGGGTGGGCCACCAGTAACGCCTCGGTCGCTAGTGACCAAACGGCAAATGTTACACAAAACCTGTTTAGGTGGGTATGTGTAGGTTGATNTAAACTTTAGTAATTTTTTTTATATAAATATGTAGTTTATTATATATGATAATACAAATTAAATGTAATAGCATTGATGGGTCGGAAATAGGACGCGAAAAAAGATGTATAATCGGTATCCGATTTTTTTAAATACAATTAACAAAAGTTTTTTAATGATCTACTTTATCGTAACCTAGGTACTTAACTACCAAAATCAAAATAATAATAATAGAGATAGCTAAACAAAAACAATGCTATCATAATAATAACAAAAGCCTTTATTTATCTTTAATTAAAATCATTTTCACAGCAATAAAAACGGGTTTTTATTGCAACTTATTTATGCTCTCGTGTAGCTGTATTAAATCACCTTTTTTTCTTTGCAAATTAGATGGTCACGTGTAAAACATTTTCTAGTTTATTTATTGATGTATTTGTACACCGAGAAACAGAACTTATTTGCATTCACTTTAACACTGAGTTTCCCATGATGACAAAACAAATAAAGATAAAAGTGATAAAACGATACTGAAATATTGAACCTAACCTGTAACAGAGAAACGAGATTTACCACCAGCTGGTCGATCGTTCCGCAACGTGACATCACACGCGCGAGTCTCACTGCAGGTACCGTTTGCTAGCTTCCTTAATTTTGGTGTTTTTTATTTCTGGTTCATTGTCAATGTTTGGTCATTCTAATGGTTAGTACACGTGTCTGCGGCCTTAGAACTATAATTTTTTATTCCAATTTAAAAATTGTGAACAAGCATATTGCACAAGCAGAAAAATTAATGAAATATAAAATAGATAAAATGGATAAAGCCCGCAGTGTTACACTTCTTCGTTTGCCACTGTACCACTGTGAGCTAAATTTCATTGAACTAATTTACGCGGAGATAAAAACTTTTATGGCACGAAATAGCACAACTTATAAATTCGATGTAAAAATACCTTTGGAGGAGGCACTTAATCGTCTAACTGCCGAAACATGGAATAAGTGCTATGCACATAGAAAAAGGACAACGAATATGGAACTTTGATACGTGTTGAAGTTATAATGTAATATTGATAGTGATAACGACAACAGTAATCAGTTACTTTACTAGTGCTTATAACGGTCGTTTCCAGTGTCGGTGTTACATCTTATGTCTCAGTAATGTTTGTACTTTTAATTGTTTTGCTGATATTGTGTCGCTGGTGGTAGTAGATCATCTCTGCCTACGACGGTAAAATTGCTGAATGCATACTTTATTATAAATAAATAAGTACCTACCTACCTGTTGGATTGTTGTTATATATTTAATAATTCCTCTAAAATGAGACGCCCATGGAATCACTTTACCTGCACGTTTTATCCGACGCAGGTGTCTACATTTTTAGGGATAAATCACTGCCCTACTATTTTGGAACTCATGTATTGTTCTACACTACTATAAATCTCCCTCGAGTTGTATACACTTCATATCAAGTCAAGGGTTAATTACACAGGACCACAGAATAAAATCGATAAAAGGTTTCTTTGGCCAGACCAGATGCATTATATGTTTTTGACGTTGCTGAAACTGAATCCGACCCGTTTTGTCCCATCACGTCAGGTTTTTCTCCCAACCTCAAAAAATAGCTAAAAATGATAAAACTCAACAATATCAACCCTGCACCTAATCAAACTTCATAACTCTAAATCCTAAGAACCCAAAAACACAATAACCTGTAACTCCAAAACCCAAAACCTCAGAACCCATAACCCTAAAACTTTATACTTTCAATATCCAGTATGATCGAGATGTCCTTCATTCCAATTACCTACATTCAGCAATACCTAGGAACGACGTGGAGGTAGCAGGCTTCTGTTCTTGGAATCCAATGATTGACCATTTCACTAGTTTCTATACCGAAAAATTCCCTGTACCTAATTTTATATACATCTGTGAATTTCTTTCTGAGATAGTGACAACGTATTCTCCACAAACGACTCAGAAATTGTCTACGCTCTTATTACACAATTCTTGTAGTATTGTACTCACCAAAGGGCCAAGCTATCCACCAATGTAGAGCTTGTTGGCGACGCCTATAGGCCCGGTTTCCTACCCTGACCAGCCGCCGACAGTGGGGTTTCGACTCCCTGCATTGTAATTTTTTTTCGTGTGCCTACTATGACAGCACGAGCACCATGATTCAGAGACTCTGTCCGATTCCGGAACAACTCCGTTACCCACCGTCACCACGTGGAGGTGTCTTGGATGTAAACCCACGAAAAAAATCTGAGTCTCACCTGTAAGTCTCTTTGTTGCCATATTTTGGTTATAGGGTTTTGGGTTATGATATTCAGGGTAAGAGTCTCCGATGCTGCATTTTGCAATTATAGGGTTATAGGGTGTTTAGAATTATGCAGTTTAAGGGTTATGGGTTTTGGGGTTATAGGTTATTGTGTTTTTGGGTCATAAGGATGATTAGGTTGCAAGGTTGATATTGTTGAGTACTGTTTTTATCTACTTTTTGAGGTTGGGAAAAAACCTGACGTGATGAGGCAAAACGGGTCTCGGATGCAGTTTCAGTGATCTCAAAAACATATAATGCACCTAGTCTGGTCAAACGAACCTTTCATCGATTTTATTTTGTGGTCCTGTGTTATTAAAAAAAAGTTCCAAATTAGCATGTCAAATATGATTGTACACTTTTTTTATAGAATATGATTTTATTTTGACTGCTTTTAGTACGGACCACGTTATGGGTGGGATGAGAACGTCCAGGGTACCATATTGGGTTCATATTTCTGGGGGTACGTCATCACATCGTTGCCTGGTGGGTTCATAGCAGAATGGTTAGGCCCGTTCAAAACGGTATTCTGGGCACACGTCGTCACAGCGGTGATGAACGCGGCGTGCGTCTTCGCCCCTGGTCTCCATTGGGGAGTCCTGGTGTTCTGCAGGTTCGTCATAGGACTCTGTGCGGTAAGTACCTGCTTAAGCTTAATAATAGAAATTCAAACCCTGACATTGATCTAAAAAAGAAAACATCCTTAGTTAATGGAGTAATATAATATAATAATAAATAAATATGTAATCTATGTATTTATACAGGGTGTCCCCGAAGGCGAAAATTCAAGTTCGATTTTCCTTGCCTTACCTTGGTACAAAAGTTGATAATTACACTATTTACTGATAGATCCGTGACAATGCTATAAAACTTAGTACACACGGTTTTTTTAGGGTGAAAAATTTCGTTGTCTATCATTCTATTCATTCATATATTTTTTTATTTTATGGTACAAAATAAAGTTAAAGATATGAACTTACCTGCCAATACGAGTTTGTTCACAATAATCGAGGTATTAGTCAAAGTCAATGTCAAATATCCTTATTGACAAGGTCAAAATCTGACCATAGGCTTTTTTTCGCGAGTGAAGTCGTATGTTGTAGTATGTGTAGTATGAATGAATATTACGTTTTTGCAAGAATAATCAGTCATTTAAATTGCTATGTGATGTCACAAGTTTAGATCAAATGACTGAACTCTTCACCCTTCAGCTGAATATTCTGTTGGTATATTCAACTAGTATTGTCAGCCGGTAACTTAACCTTTTTCTTTTTGACATTTTGTTTGAATGAGGATAAAAATCATTCAGCAAAATGATGGATTCTAATACGGCTGTGGAAGTGGTCAGTTTAAATTTAAACTTTAGAGACACAGATGTTTTAGTAAACGTAGACGTTGAAACAGCAAATATTTTACTAAATGGTAAGATAATTTTTTATATGGGACATATTTGCGATCCACTTTGCTTCAGGATTACCCTCTTTTTTTTGTGACCTAGGTCAGAGATAATATTGGTGGAATCATTTGTAATTCAGGTCTTTTTCGTATGAATTAGTATGTAGCCATTGACATAAATGACCAAATTCTATTCTCTTACGATAACGATTATGTCGAATATTCGCATATCTTGCAACATCAGAATCTACATACTTTTCACGCTTTTTAAATTTGCCACTTAAAAATATTCCAAAGAAAGCATTGATATATTCCTTCAGTTATATTTGAAGCAAATACTTATATTATATAGTGAGATAACACTGATTCCCACAACACTAGATTAGAAGTTGGAACCCATATGTCAAAGTCGTCAAAGTACATATGACAGGCTGCACCACTGAATAGTGAATATATACATTTTCGCGATCTGTTCAGGTTAGACAAGGTTTGAAATAAGATTAAAAGAGATAGAAACAGTAACTACAAGTCAGACGTATTCACCAATATTTACTCGCGAAAAAAAGCCTCATATATATGTAGATTTGTTCACTATGGCTGTAGCTTACAGTAATGTAGAAATGACTGACATATTATTGGTTTTTGGGTATTGTTAAGGGAATGCTCGCGAATGTGTTAAGAGTATACAGAGAAAGGTTTCCAAATCGACGTCTACCAAACAATCAAACGTTTGCAGCTGTCGTGAGGCTTCTTCGCGAAACTGGTCCCTTTGTACCCGTGACTACTGATTATGTAAGAATGTAATTAATCGAGTTTTAACTCAATCCTCTTGATTTTTCTTTTTGGTTTCGAATGAAAGATGCAAATAATCTATTGATTCGCGTAAAGAGTACAAATCGCTGCCAACGAAGTCAAACGCAATCCAAATATGTTGTTTCAAACTCGAAGATCTCTCAGAAAACGTTGGCTAAAGTGTATCAGTGTCAACGGTGGATTCTTCGAACAATTATTTTAAATCATTATTACGTATTTCATTTGTTTTATCGTTAATTGTTGTAATAACATGAAGAAACACTTAGTTTGTTTCGCTTTTATTTTTTTCTCGTATTATCAAAACATAGTGTTCGTTAAACAAGTTTTTCTCGAAAACGGATCGAGATACCGAAATGAAACCAGAGTACATAGTTAATGGAAAAATGATTGCATTTTAAGGATTTTCGGTAAAACTGGTCGTAAGTGGCGCCCTCTATGAGCAACGCTGAAATTGCAACACGCATCTTATTCGTCGCTTAAAAAATATAGTTTCACAAATTTTCAAGTTCCTAACCTACATATTTTCAGAATAATTGTAAAAATTTGATTTAAAATTTTAACTTTCAACACCCTGTATTTCCGAAACTATCAACTTTCGGATGGGGCATGCTTGCGCCAATGGTCACCATTTTATATGTAGGATCTTCAGCTTTCGATTTTCCCATTGTTAATGAATCACCCTGTATATTTACAAATAATGTAAATTTTAAGAAAAATTATAGATTACAGCAAATATTTCACATAGTTTGACGAAAGTAGGTATATATATTTGAATAGAATAAAATAACACTTATGGCAAATAATTCCATTTAAAACTATCTGCTCATTTGATCCAAATACTTTTTTTTCAGTGTATACCTAAGTAATTCTACAAATTAATAAGTTTAGTATTTTTAAATTATATGTTTATCACTATTATTATCTATTTTAATATGCCTTCCTGCACAAGTAGAAAATTCTTATTATGGACTTGATCAACGCTTCTTCATTCAAGGATATCTGAAACGGCTGAACGATATCAAAGTGCCGACAACGGAGTTAATCTGCTAGCTTACATATACTATTGTTAGACTGTAGAGCATGTTTGAGAACTGAATAAATATGTTTTAGGGTCCGATATATCCAGCCCTGCAGTGTTTGATAGCCAGATGGGCGCCCCCAGCGGAAAAAGGAAAATTCGTCGGCGCTCTCATGGGCAATACGCTTGGCACGTGCGTCACCTGGCCTTTTGTCGGCGCCATAACGCAAGCGTTTGGGTGGGACTGGGGCTTCTATACAATGACCATTCAGATGGCGGTGTTCCTTATAATATTCTGGATAATAACAGCGGACAGTCCGGCCGACCACAGGTGGATCAGTGAAGAAGAGAAAAACTACATAGCAGAATCCCAAGGCGGATCGGTTACCAAGACGAAGGTTGGTAGAGGTTATGGATTTCTCAGAAGATTTAGTAGGCTACTTAAGTTGTCATGTATTTTCAGCGAGTGGAAAGTCACGAATCCACTGGTCAAATATCTGTGATAGTTTCAATCAGTCCTCGACTGCTGCAGAAACAGGCCCAAGATATGTTGTCTAATGTCCGTATCTACTCGTATAGTCAGTACTTAATTTCAACGAGACCTGTACACATCTTAAGCACAGCTGAAGTCTTAGAATAGGGACTTCGGCAGTACTAGGCGGTTTGATTATTTCAGTTACAAATTTTTAATTATCGGAATTTTCTGTTTAAGTTGGCCATCAACTGGAAATTGCATGCCAACAAATCTAGAAATAATGTCTTAGGGCCAAATTCAGAGACTTCCCTAAATCTATACTAACCTTTCACTCATATCAAACTTATGCTTCACTCAACTTAGGGTGCCCTCATCTTTTTTTCAATTTTGGTATTCAGAAATGTGTATAAATGAGTGACTAACTTGAGTGTGCTAAGATTAGAGGAAAGAAAGAAAAGTTTAAAGACAAAGTCAATAATTTAATCTAGCTATTTATGGCAGAAAACCTTATTATTATCTAAAAAGTCACTTACTTGTAGTAGAAAAGCGATATTTGCTGGTATGACCATAAAACTCTTTATCTTCAGATGACAACAACCGCGATAAAAACTTTTGCTAGGGAAAAATTATACTGTAGTTATGGTAATAAAATGGTTTTGTAATACATAAAAAATTAACGAAAAACCTTAAGAAGCTCCTTAAGCAAAATATTATTTACATTTTGTAACAAGAAACTTAAAAAAAAACTAAATTTTTCTGTTAAAATGTAGACAAATTATATTTATTCTAAGGCTTATTAGGCACGTAACTTTTTTGCATAATTGATACAAAGCCTTCATAAAGGTTTAAAAGCGACATGATTGCCAACATTGTAGGGCTGGTACTGGTAAAGAAAAATCCCAAAATGTTGGCGACACATAGTGGTCGCAAATCCGAAAAAGCTGGACAAAAATCCAAAGAGGTTTGCATCATCACCAAAAGTGGGGATTTCATGTTTTTCAGGTCGCTGAAACCGAATTTGTAGTAAAAAATCTCAAATTCAAGATGGCTGACACAAAATCACAATTTATTGAAACTAATTGAAATTTTGAGTGTATCTGGTATTGAGGTGGCTAAAACATATTTAAAGTCGGTATTTTAGCTCTTTGAGGTAATTAATTATAAATAAAGTATGAAAGATAAAAAACTGCGATATAAGGCATGTATTTGGAATGAATTCCTCATTTCGAACGAAACAATTTCAAAATATTATTGAAGCTTATTCTAATTATTTAGCTTATTCTAATACACAGGAGTCATTCGCATCGTCATCATCTGTTACATAACCGTCAGAGCATGAAACATCGCTGTAGCTTCGGTTGAAAAGCTTTTCTCATTTACTTCTATTTTGAAATCTTGCACCTTTTTAGAAAAATGTTGATCTAAGATAATGATTTACGTTTCTAAATTCTTATGGAATTATCCTTTCAAAAATCGGAATAAAATTTTACTGATGTCCGACCCCGTCGAAAATGATAAATTTTGATTTGAAAAATCATAAATAAAAATATGATACATTTCACACGAAAAAACATACAAAAAACAATTTGTATTAGAAACGCTCGTTGGGAACGCGAAGAGACACTAAAACACTAGCTATTGTATAACTAAGGCTTTATTTAGGCCAGGAAAAAGAGCTGACCATTTCGCGACTTTTTGTTTCGGCAAGTTGAATTTATTGCTATAGATGCTAAATATTATGTACAATAACATATTAGTTTCCACAATCATAAAAATGGAGGAAAGATTGTTTACAGGGTGGTTAATTGTATAATTCGTAAAATCACGTTTTTCGCTTATAACTTTTTTCCGTTCATTTCCACGAGAAAACAGTAAATACTGTTTTTTTCGTCTTCAAAAGACCTACAAAACTAGCCCTCGAGCGTAAAAAAATATTCATTCGATCAAAAGTTATACCTAAACAGAAGAAGTTTATTTATGACTTTTGAATTAAACATTTATAAACTGCGTTATTATTACCAGAACGTTTTGGCATCGCATCCTCTCATTCCTCATCACTGTCTAATAACTCCGTTGTTTTTCAACGAATCTTGACGATTTTTTATTTAACTTAAAGCTCTTTTCCTAAGCTTTCCGAATATGTAATAATATAAATTATATTACGCGCGTGCGTCGTATATTTCATTTTGCAATTAAGGCTAAAAAAAATTTCCAAATTGCATATTTGAAATTAAAAAAAAATATAGATTTCAATGTATTATTATGAAATCTACCATGAAAAAATCAGTGGGATTGTGGAAGATGCTGTATAAGGCCATAACTTGTAAACTATTTAACTTACCGATTCCAGATTTAATTCAAAAGTCATAAATAAACTTCTTCTATTTATAATAATCAATATTTTTTAACGCTCAGCTAGCTTTGTAGGTCTTTTGAAGACGAAAAAAATGTACTTTACTGTTTTCACGTGGAAATGAACGGAAAAAAGTTATAAGCGAAAAACGTGAATTTACATAAAAATTATACAATTAACCCTGCAAACAATCTTCCCCCCATTTTTATGACTGTGGAAACTAATATATTATTGTACATAATATTTAGCATCTATAGTGATAAATTCAGCTTACCGAAACAAAAAGTCGCGTCCAACTCTATATTTCCTGGCCAATCTTACGATAGTAAACCAGCCGTACACAGAGGCACAAAAAATGACTCAGAACCCGAATCTGGAAAAATCCGGAGGTTTTCTCTTTTGATATATGAACTTGACATTCCTGTACGCACTTTCCAACTTTTAATAGTGCAGGATCTCTTGGGATCACAACTATTTCGATAATTTACGCTTGATGTGATTTGCAATCGATGGAAATTGCAAGAGGTTTTTGTTTACACAATAAAAACATGCAACTTTCGAAAAATGAGATTCTAGACGAGCGAATGTATTCGACTTACCTCTAAGAACACCCTATATATTGCATGCAACGATTCGTACTCTATTAAAAATTTGCACTTATTTTCAATTCACTGATTTTCGAGGGGTCAGTGGAAAGTGAAATATACTAATGTGTCGCAGCATACTTCCGATAGTTGCTGTGGTCTATACACGTGGGCCAGCACTCTGTCCCTTTAAAGAACTAAGCAGTGACTCCTCTAGGATATTCTGAAGCTGAGGTATTAACGCAAACTAACGACTTTTGTCCAGCTTTTTCGGAATTCCGACCACGCACCAATATTAATGATTTGTTTGCAACCAACAATACAAACTGTTACGTCTATGCTCGAAATAATGCGATCGTTAATATGTTGAACAGAAACTCGTGAAAAATTACACCAATCAATCCGATGAAGTAGAATGTTGCGTTTTAATGTAATCCTGGTCTTACTTTAATAATTTTTAATTTTACCAAAACTTAATTGCCAACATGGAGGAAATAAAATTACTGGTCATATGGCTTGTAATCATTTATAAGGGCTCTGTATTGCCAGAGCTGTGGAAGAGTTAAGAGCGACATGTCTAGGACCTATTGTAATTAATTCACGTTTTAAATTTTCAGGCCATACCGCCGTACGTCTCCATATTCACATCTATACCATTCTGGGCCCTCCAGGTCTTACATTTCGGCAACCTGTGGGGACTCTACCTCCAAATTACCGGCGCTCCCAAGTTCATGAGTGAAGTGGTGGGCTTCGACTTGAAGTCGGCGGGTGGACTTGCGGCCTTGCCGCATCTGCTAAGGATGTTCCTCGGCATGGGCTTCGGATCAATCGGCGATTTCCTAAAGAAGAGGGAGGTGTCTACCAAATTTATAAGGAAATTCTTCGTTTTGTTCTGTAAGTTGCCAATGCGTTTAATTTACCTATCTCTTCCTGATAAGGAATTACCACTCTAAGTTTGTTACGCCCTGAATATTAATTGCCCATAGAAGTACATGGTTACTGTTTATAAATGTTACTTCACCTTAAGTTTCTAATTTTTCAAGGTAAATAGTGCTAACAAGTTGTAGGTAACAACAAAAAATATTTTATGTTTATACTGAATTGTGACAAGATGGTGTTAAAAAGTGTGACAAATTAAACTTATTATCTTGAAGCGGAAATCAACAAAAAGACTTCTATTTCAGCGCCTAGGATGATAAACCATTAATTACTATACAGTGTGTTTCAGTTCGAGTGAATCAAACTTTAACCACAAATAGAACACGATAAATAATTCAGAATTGCCTTATAAAGCAAGGGGTCTAAGTCTCACCGTTTTCACTGTACAGGGAGCAAGAATACCTATAATTGCTTCAGAATGTCACAAATGAAGTTTTAGAGGAGGCGCCATTGAATATGCTGTCCACCGCACTGTAGCGCAACAAACCCACTCAGTGGGGGAAATTCACCACAATACGAATGCATTAAATAATACACAAGACATATTATTTAATATTGTTTTGAAGTCTAAGTTAATGTGTGACATTATACTAATATTAATTTAAAATTTGTTTGAAACTAAACTTATCAGAAGAACGGTCTCCCATTCAATTGAGATTTTCGGTTAAAACGATACACTATACCGATTTTCAACAAGTATATCTTTTTTATGTAGAATTGTCCACGGAATCTAAAAATGAGTCCCAAATGATTATTAGGTCATTGGCGTAGAAGTTGGGGTAAAAAAATCCCACTTTACTACCCATTCCTACGCCACTGACATACATAAAATTTGTAAATTTTATAGTAACTTATGCAGCTGTGTAAATGTAAATACCACACCAAATTTGAGTCAATTTGTTATAAGCATACCAAAGATTTCATAAATAATATGATTTTAACAACCGATCAATACGGCCCTGTGAAAACGGTGAGGCTTAGACCCTTGCTTTATAAGGTAATTCTGACTTATTTATTGAGTTCTATTTGTGGTTAAAGTTTGATTCACTCGAACTTAAACACCTTGTATAGTACAGAGTTGAAAAATCTGTAAAACTGATAAAAAAATGACCAAACACACATTGGTAAAGATATCCCGCATCAAACGCTATGTACATCAAGTTTTTAATGTATTTATCTACCGAACTTTTGATTATTCTTTCATAAAATAATAGTATACAAGATGTTTCTGAAATAAGTGCGTTCCTTCCGTTTCGAAAAGGAGCATCTTTTATTAAGCAACTGATGGTCTAAAAGCCTAAATGCTCCTGTTTCCGAGAAAATTGATTAAGAAAATTAACTACAAATGTAAGTCGACCCTGCGCATCTTGTGCACGTGCGTTGTGTGTTGCAGTATTACTTAGCCGGCGTATAAGATGTTTTCTAATCAAGAACTAGCAGATATAGTGTTAATGTACGGAGAATGTTAGCAAATTTAAATGAGAGTTGTCGTTTGTACGCTGGCCTCAACATGTTTTCGACGACGAAGAAAACATCATAAACTTCGTTGAAGAATTTCCGAGGCGCAGTACTTGCTACATTGGCCGAGAAGTGGGTGTATTTAATCGTGTTTGTACTACGGGAACAATTATCCCCTATCGTGTATAAAGGGTATTAAATAATAATGATTTTCAGTCCTGTATGGAATTTTGCCAGTGGTTTCACATCAAATAGACAAGATCCGGATTTGACAGGTAAGGTGCTTTTTACGGATGAATATTGTTTTACTAGAGGCATTAAATGTTCACAACATTCGCTGTTGGTGTGATCCTGACGTTGTACAGAGATCTCGATTCTAGCAACGGTTTTCAGTGGTGCTTTTAGTGACCGTCATTTGGAAGTATTTTTATTAGCACATGGAAACAACTTTGAACAATTTTTGTAAAGCATATCGTCTATTGGTAATTCGTTTATTCGTTTAATTTTTTAAACGAGATTTGAATAAATTTCAGCATTTTCGAACACAAAGTTTAAACCGTCAAAACCGCCATTAGCGCTTTCGCACAGCGGCGCGCGGCAGCTTCGATATCAAAGGTACAGGTAATACATACTATTTTATAATTTAAAATGTAATGTTTTAAATCATCAATTTCTTAATAAAAGCTGCTTACTTTTGAACCCTCTATCACCCTTTTCAAGGAACGCCCTGTATACTATAGTTGGAGATAAAAGGTTCTTAACAAAAAAATATGTACAAATAGCTTTATTTGTCACTTTAGGGCGTTTTTTTTTTCTATAACTAAATAGGTCAGCCTACAAAGATAAATATTCACCACAACAACAAAACACAGCCTCCAAACGAACAAAAAATATTAATGCCTTCCTTTAACACTTTAAATCTATGTACTATGTACTACCTACACATCTCAAAATTGAAGCTATATTTTTTAGAACAAAAAAGTACTAAAAATAAGAATACAAAAAAATCTCATTGTCAAACAGTTTTAGTTTTATTGGTGACGTAAATTAATAGAACAGTTAAAAAAGTTTTTACAATAATTGAGTTACTATAATGTGAAGATAATTTTTAGCCGTAGTAAAGTAGGTACTTAATAATTATATTAAAACTTAATCAATAGGGTGCAATTTTACAAAAGTGTTGGCAAAAGCTAGAAAATCAGCAAAGCATTTTCTCGCTGTAGCTAAAACCTTTGTATTTAGCATCGTCCTCTAAATTTAAGAATAAAAATGTTAAAGATAGGGTGACATTTATCACCAATAACTGTGTACATTTATAATCATCATTTAAATTTGTTGAATCACAGGCTAAATCCAAAAATGTCTACTACATATCGATATTTTTCTTTTCAGCCCATATCCTCCCAGGAGTCCTGATGATAGGTATTAGTTTCGTCGGCTGTAAGTGGATACCAATAGTTGCATTGTTGATACTCAGTCAAGCTATAAACGGCGCGGCTGTCTTGACGAACCTGTCGAATCCTCAAGATCTAGCACCTAATTTTGCCGGGACGATATTCGGTATAATCAGTTTCATCGGCGGAATGACTGGTTTCATAGTTCCTCAAATCACAGGAGTTCTAACGAATGAGAATGTAAGTAGAATATGAAAAGTATATTTGACTATCAGATATGCATCTAATAAAATATAACCGACAAATAGATGTCTCCATATGTGATTCGTGATTGTAATTTTTTCGTTCTCATATTCCGCAAATAATAGTTGGCATGGAGTATACATAAATAAGAGTCGCACAGAATCAAATCTGACATTCGAACAGACCAAACATTTGGAAAATTTAGAAAAATCCACTTTCCAGGAAATTGCTGCTTTAACCAATCTCGAATAATTCGAGGTACGTCGAAGAGCAGCATTATGCAAGTGCATATGTTTCGACAAATTTCCTGCGTTACATAAATCACTTAGAATGTTACTTAAAAAGTCTTGAAGGGAGCAACTCTGAATTTGGATATCAAAATATCAAGATTTAAACAAATTTAGTCCAGAAGTTGATAATAAAGGAGATTAAAATCGCAATTTCTATATTAAGGATTTTCTTAACGCAACTAATGCAGTTTTAAGATATTAAATCCCATTAACGCCTTAAGGGACGTATTCTTTTTTCATTTTTCAACGGTTGCAATGACTCAAAAATGATCGTAAACAAATTTAAAAATTACCATATCCGACGTAAAATCATCTGAACTTTCAGAATCTGTGATCAGATTCCTTGAAAAATACAGTTGGAAGTCACTTATGGGTTTTTCAAACTGGATTTCCGCATCGAAATCAGATAAGGATTTATAAGTGGAGTGAAAATATCGTAGCATACGACCCTAAACTTCAAGATGGATGCATAAAAAAAATTTTTTTGAGGTCTTAGCGACCAAAATGCCTACTCAAAAGGAAAAAACCCTCAAAACTTTTAGGAATTTTTTTCTTGAAATGGTGGGGTTTCCGAAAAAATTTTATAGTACAAAAAGTTGTTAAAATTATGCAAACAATAAGCTCAAATTCTTTCACAATTTTTTGAGACGTTTTTACATTTTTCAACTTTGGCCGTTTTTTTGAAAAATTCGAAAATTCCAAAAATTCTGAAAAAATTTTAGAGTATTTTCTGATGGTTGATGAAATCAAACATATGAAGAAATAGATTATTATTTATCATAATAAAAACAAAATATTATAATAAAATTTCAAAAAAAAAATAAAAAATTAAAAATCTACATAAAAAACAAAAAAAAAAACTAAAAAAGGCTCTTTTGTTCGTCGACCTTCACGTTAGTAAAAGATGGCCAACGCATCAATCAGATACGGCAAACAGACGAAATCAAATGATAGCACATTCAAGGAAAAAGATTTTTATAGTTTTCGGGATACAATATTGAATTAGCCAGTACATTTTAAACCTAACTACACATTCGAGCCAATAGATCGGAACTTCATTACATAACCCATGTTTTTTTCCAAATCCATATGAAATTTAAATCAAATATTCGTAAAAAAAACATTTTCCACGACAATGAGGGGGTTTCAGAAAAATGTTATTGAACAAAAAGTTCTTGAAATTCATCAGAAAATACGCTTTTTCAGAATTTTTTGAAATGATTTTTGAATTTTTCAAAAAAAACGGCCAAAGTTGAAAAATGTAAAAACGTCTCAAAAATTGTGAAAGAATTTGAGCGTATTCTTTGCATAAATTTAACAACTTTTTGTTCTATAAAATTTTTTCGGAAACCCCACCATTTTCAAGAAAAAAATTCCAAAATATTTTGAGGCTTTTTGGTCTTTTGGTTGCTAAGACCTCAAAAAAAATTTTTGGATGCACGCATCTTTAAGTTTAGGGTCGTATGCCACGATATTGGAACATGATCACATATTCTGAAAGTTTAGGTCGGATATGGTAATTTCCAATTTTTTTTACGATCTTTTTTTGTCATTGCAGCCGTTGAAAAATGAAAAAAAAATACGTCCCTTCAGGCGTTAACGGATTTTAATCTGGAAATGAATAGTCAAAGACAGTATTTGTAATATTTTAAGTCTTGTTAAATCTGGTACATCATATTCTCTACATAGATACTTTATAGTCTGAAATTATTTAGTCGATTTTTTCAGATGTTCTATTCTTAATAACATTTTTCAGTGAAATACAGAACGTCACCTGTCAGGTTGAATTATTCTAAATTGCAATACAATAAAACCATTAATAATATTGTTTTTTTCAGAACGGAGTCAAAGAATGGGGATGGGCTTTTATAATTGGCGGTTGTGCATATATCTTTTGTGGATTGTTCTTTATAATATTCGGCAAAGTTGAGAAGCAGCCATGGAACGAGAAGAAAGCTGATACTGAAAAACCAGAAACATCTACTTAGATTATTGTACATAATTAGTTTTTTTTGTCTGTGATCGTATAAGCTATAACTAGAGAAAGGATTCCAGTTATTCATGCTAAAACCAGGATTAGCTTCAGGTACCATGCCAATGGATACCTACTTAATATACTCTATTGGGATGTTTTTGCATTTAAAGTAAAATGATGTTATAGCACTATGATGAATTTCATTGACGGTAAGGAATAACACGAGGCAACTGTTTTCCTAACACAAGTTTTTTATTTATATAAATTAAAGTTCTGTTTTTCGCCGTTAAATTACAGGTAATATATCTTCTCTAAAAATAAGATTTTTGATGTACTGTAAATTAATCTGTTCGTTTATTTACACTTAAGATTCTAGCAACAAGAGGCAAATTTTGCCGATAATGCAGTTGAACTGAATACCTGTAATCCACTATCTCTTTAAATACTAAATAAATTTTATTTTTAATAAATACTGAAAATAATGTAAAATTATATGTGCTGCCACTGCCTAAAATTCCTATAATATATCCTTTCAACAAGAGTAAATATAATATTTAATTTGCAAATGTCGATAAAACTTCAAAGCTATATTTTAAATACTGTTACAGTTATTTAAATATTAAAAGTTTAACATATTTTTCTCTTTCATGTAAATGGTCATCTTAATTATACAAAGTTAAAAGACAAAAATTTATATTGTGATTATATTTATTGATTGATTTAATATATACATTCTTGTTCATTAAAATTAAAAATTTAGGATAAGAAAGAAGTATTACCTAATATTGACGCAGTAATTTCCTAATTAAGTGTAAATATAAAAATAAATTTATAATATTCTGTTTTCCCAAATTTGTTTCATCGTGGAATAACCAAATTAGAGAATTGAAAAACAGACGAAACATGAAATATTGCTTTATTAGGATTATTTCGATTAATTTTTTTAAGGAGGTGAAACGAATCACTAGATATGTCCTGATAGTCTAAAGTTCCAAATTCTTGGATATAGTTACGAATATACGAAGTCTGTTTAGAAAATAACCGAACTTTATTTCTTTAAACTGTATTATTAATTTTATACATTAATGGTCGTCGCTTCCTTTAAAGTACTCCCCTCCCCTTTTCCCATCCGTTTTCCATTTCGCGAAGCAGTCCTGGATAGCTTCATTTGGAATGGTCTTTAAAGTCTGTGACGAATTTGCTTTGATGTCATCAATACTCTGAAAACTGCGGCGGCGTTCTTTTAGCACTGATTTTAATTTTGGAAATAAGAAAAAATCGCATGGAGCATTGTCCGGCGAGTAAGGAGGGTGAGGAAGGGTAGTAATCTGATTTTTGGCATAATCTGATGAATCTCTTTCATTTTCTGATAGTATTTAACCACCTAAATATATCTTAAAAAAATTAGTTCAATAAGATTAATAATAAGTGATATATTTAATTATGAATTTGTAAGACCCTTGAAAAGGTCAACACTGCGGGAGAACAGGTAATGACGTCACGACACCGGCCACTCGGCGATCAAGTCGCGAGCAGTCGGAGAGATCTGTAAATATTTGCTATACTTTTACCTATATTATATACCTATATTTTTAAGTGTATAAATAGAAAGTGTATAGAGATATACATCAAGTCTTGTTGAAATGCATTTTTCATACAACATATTTATTATAAACATAGAATGACTTGGAATACCTAAATACATTTTCGGATTTTTCTCAATGACGTAAATGGTTCGCTTTTCTACATTTTCTTTTGCGTTCCATTTTTGTACAAATGTACCAGTAGTACTTTGACTAGTATTTGAAGCAACTCAGAACCACCCTCGTTTTTCTTTGGTGGCCGTCTAGGGGGTTGTAAAATATTATTATTTAAATACATTGCTGGGTGGTTCTCAGTTGCTTATAGGTCCCTATCGCCGAAGTATTTCGAAATTTTTGTGAACGGGTGCGTTTAAATGGGGTAGACAATTTTTTTTTTCGGTACAAATTTTAAAATTCAGCTCTAAATGTTCAAATAATAATATTTACCACCCCCTAGACCGGCAACCGAAGAAAAACGAGAGTGGTTCTTAACTGCTTATAGGACCCTCTCGCCGACGTATTTCGAATTTTTTGTGAACACGAACATTTAGATGGGGTAGAATTTTTTTTCCGGCATAAAGTTGAAAATTGTGCTCTAAATGTTCAAATAATAATATTTTACAACCTCCTAGACGTGTAACCAAAGAAAAACGAAGATGGTTTTGAGTTGCATACCGTGGCTGAGAAAACCGTGGATAACATCACAAAACTTTTAATTTTTCAGTAATGGAATAAATATTTTTATTCGGAGTCTATCCTGAGGTACTTTTGCCGCCTGGAACTATACAATATTTGTACAATCCTCGGTTTCGATCCATTTAGACATAAAAACAATGATTAACGAAACTGCCAAGCGAACCACACACCGTATGTATTAATATAGAATGGGATGAGAGCGAGCGCGAGCGCGAGCGGAGTTCCGGTATTATGACGTCAGGCAATGGTTGCTCAACGTTTTTCCGCGGTCTGTTTTCATTAATTTATTTCACACATTTCTCGTTGAAACAAAAAATTGATTTTTGGCATACTAACTAATTAAAGGGTAAACTTTTGGAATATGCAAAAAAAAATCTACTGAATGGGCCTATTAACAAAGCTGAGTGTGCGGGCACATTGTCATGGTGCAAGAACCATGCATGAGTTGTCTCGCCACAATATGGATTGGTATCAATAAGATCACGTGACCAGGTCGGTCACACGGATATTTAAAAAATATTGCCAAATAAAGATATGGCAGATCTTTATAATAAAATTAATGCTGCTGAAGCGTCTCTAAATAGAATAACTCCTAAGAATTCCCTTGGTGGCGCTAATATTAATGACTCTTTTATCCAGGGAGACTTGACAAGGAGCACGAAGTCATACGGGAAAGTTGACAAAATTTGTCCAAGAAATGGCAGAAGTTTGGGTGGCGCTAGTGTTCCATGTGTCCCAAGTGAATGTAGCATAAGAAATACGAGTGAAGTAAGCAAATAACCAATTTTATTTTATAATGAGTTTAGTAGATATATCGGGGAGGTATACTAACCTAATAACTATAAGTCAAGTCAATAATTATTACAATTTGTTTTTATAATGATAAATAAAAAGTTTCGAAAATAATTTAACGATACATATGGAACACTAGTGCCCTCTTATTTTTGTAAGATTTTTGTTTACATGGAGTTGGGACTCCTTGTGTAGTCTCCATGCGTTTACCAATGACCAATGAGAAATCATTACGTCTACGATCGAGATAATGAGATCGCTGATTGGTTGAACAGAGCGTTGTGTTTTAACGCAACCTTGATCTTCTACCCGCTGGAAAACAGCAAACGTAATCCTTATCCCAAAACCCAATAAAGACCACACCTTCCCATCCAACTACCGGCCCATTAGCCTGCTCCCGGCTATGAGCAAAGTGGTAGAAAAAATTATCCTAACCCGTCTAAGAACCCACTCCCAAGAACTGCGAGTCATTACAGACGAGCAGTTGGCCTTCCGACCCAATCACTCTACCGAACTCCAAATCCTTCGCCTTACCGAGCACATCACGGCGGCCTTCAACAGGGGACAGTACACTGGTGCTGTCTTCCTGGACGTCGCAAAGGCCTTCGATACGGTTTGGCATGAAGGCCTACTGATGAAAATGCTCACCAACCAATATCCCATATCCTTTACCAAACTCATAAAATCCTACCTACACCACCGAAAATTCCGCATCCAAATCCAAGATTCCCTTTCCACCACCCGTCCCATGGAGGCCGGTGTCCCCCAGGGCACCGTCCTGTCCCCACACCTATACACCATTTACAACTCCGACATCCCACATCCCCCCAACACCAACATATACTTATACGCCGACGACCTGACAATCACATCCCAATCCGTAGATCCTAGATATTCCGTCTCCCTCCTCCAAAACTCCTTAGACCAACTTGAAACCTGGTGCAACAGGTGGAAAGTCAAAATTAATCCCAACAAAAGTTCGGCTATCCTTTTTACCAAACGAAAAATCCCACAAAACCTCGACAGACTGACACTATCCCAGGAACCCATCTCCTGGAATCGACAAACACGATACCTGGGCGTGACGATGGACCAGCGTCTCACGTGGAAACCGCACATCGTGGAGACGGTGGCGCGAGCGAAGACCACCAGGGCTAGGCTCTATCCCTTACTCAAAGGTGGAAACACCCTCAGTTTAAGGAATAAGCGAACGCTTATCAAGGTGGTACTTCAACCGCAGCTAACCTACGCCTCCACGGCGTGGGGTCACGCGGCAAAAAGCCACTTAAAGTCATTACAGGCTGTGGAAAACATAGCCCTCCGCACGGCCACCGACGCGCCCTGGTACGTAAGAAACACTGACATATTACGAGACTTACAATACACAAACGCTACACAGACAATAAGACAAAACGCGGAGAAACGATTTGACGTAGCCGCTAGACATGACAATCCCCTCCTCAGGCAAGCCGTTGACTACGTACCCGACGTGACCGACAAACACAAAAGACCTAGACACCAACTTTTTGACCCTGGGTGACCACCCCAACGACCCCCCCCCTGCCCGCTAACCTTTTCTGTTTCAGAGACAGCCAGGATCAAGAAACGAAGACAACGACACACACACACACATACACACCCCCCCATACCCTCCTTAACCCTCCCCTCCCGCGCTAGCCTAAGGGCCACCTTAGCAAAGCGCATCCCAGGCTGCATAGCCGCACTACCCTACCCAACCATACCACACATAAACATGACACTACCCCCGGGGTTTACACAGACGAGCCGGCGAAGCAAGAAGAGCGCCAGAAGAAAGGGCCCTAGCCGGCGGGGCCCAGCCAGGACAAAAGGAGGTCCCACAAAGCGCCTACACCGGCCGCATTTGCGGTCGGGGTAGACGACGGATGGGGCCCACCTACGAAGGCTGTCCAGGCCTACACGAGATGAGGCAGGATAAAGAGGGATAATCCCCCTCGATCCCAAATCATTGAGGCCAATTTCTAGCCATAGAATAATGGCGCGCCTTGATCTTACTATTTTAATAATTTTTAATTTTACCGAAATTTACTGACCAACATGAAGGAAATAAAATTACCTAATGTTCACAAACATAATTACTTGTCACGTGGTTTGTAAACATTTATGAAGGCTCTGTATATATGCGTACTTGAAATCAAGTACGCATGATAACAATTTTGACAAAATACTATAAAACTTACCTATAATACTTTCAAAACCATGCATTTCAGTTAAGTATTGGTACCGTAAATACGGGGCACGGGAGCGAACTTCTACACCTTTGTTAAAACATTTGTGCATGCTTGTTTAATGAAGAAAAAAAGTACTTTTGTCAACATTTCACAATTTCATGGATTTTGCAGTAAATTGCATAATAATTTTTGCTTGTTTTTCAACAAGATCTACAAAACTACTTTTTCAAAAAAAAATGTATAACATTTACAAAATACAAAAGCTAAATCTGAACGAGATTGGTATTCAAAATTAACAAAATACCTACTGTTAATGATGCTCTTAGCGGTCTATGTTTTTGATTAAAATTGAGGTTATATATTCACATTCGACTTCTTTCACTAGGTATATAGTCCAAGCATTCTGTCACGGTCTAATGTTAAATTTGCAGAAATTATTACCTGGACAAAAAAAAAATAAGACCGTACGGAAAATTAAATTTTAAATTGAGTTTCTTGTTCTTTAAACTCGATCCAAAATGGTTAAAAAAAATCGCAAAGTTGCAAAAAAGGGTTTTTCTAAAATAACTAAAAAATAATCCTTAAAATTAATAAAATCGTCAACATTTTTTAACAGGATGATAATATAACTCTTTATGAAGAAAATAAACTGAAAATCGTTACTGTAGGGCTATCCGCTGAGAAGATCTAGCCAATTTTCGAGAGCGCCTTTTTTTAAAAAAATCGATATATCGAAAAATAATTAATATTTTTAAATTTTTCAAAAATGTGCTTTTTTGGCTTGCTGCGGGCTATCCTTGCAGTAAATGGCAAGTATAAGAACGTAAATGTAAACGAGTTATAGAAAAAGAGAAAAGAGAAAATTTTTAACGGTTTTTTCGATATATCTCGAAAAGTAACAAAGCAATCGATAATTACAAAAAATCAAACGATAGATCTTTTTAAAACCTACAACTTTTTCATTTAAAATTTTTCAGTCGGTACTATATTTTTTAACAAATATTCGCCATTTTGGATCGAATTTAAAGAACAAGAAACTCAATTTAAAATTTAATTTTCTATAGGTACGGTCATATTTTTTTTGTCCAGGTAATTATTTCTGTAAGCATTTCTCTATAATGCTTGGACTAATACCAAGTTATAATAATTGATCTTAAAAACAGATGGAAATGTAATAGAAAAAAAACTGAAGATCATCCCTCTTTTAAGGAAGCAATATTGAATCAGGGGAACTTAATCTAATTTTAAGTCAATCATCAATTATTACGCCTACGTGCAGTGGCGTAACAATAGGGTGGCAGGAGAGTGAAATGCCACGGGCCCTTAGCCGGAGGGGGACTCGGGCCCGAAAGGGCCGTGATCACAGGAGGATCCTAACATTTATTATTACAACATTTAGTAAAATTTATTAGTTTTGTATTCAATTAATTTGTTACCTACATACTAAAGTACATATACAAATTAAACAAAAAAATGTATCAAGATTTGAACGCATTTGTAAGAAAAAGATATCACCCAGTTGTAGAACGCATCGGGTAGGTGATATAACTCGTCACTTGTAGACGTAGTGCGGTAGCTAAAAGAAATCAAGTTAAGTTTTCTTGTTAGTTCATATTTTCGCCGCAGGACTTCTTTTGTGGCGCGGGCTCTGGTAATAAAATTGTGATTCAATACGCTCTTTAAATTAAAAATTATTAGAAAATCAACTAATTATAATAACGCTTATATGTACTTCACGTGGCGATTTATTAAAAAAAAACTATAACGTTGGTTCTTCTTTACGTAGATGAATTTTCCACGACCTCAAACGGTATAGTTACGCCACTGCCTACCTATGTAGTATTGCATTTTCCTGGACACCCTGTTTACTTTGCTTTAAAATTACAATTATCTTTTTGCAACCCAAAATAAAATTTTATAAACAATTATCATTGTCGCAAACGTGCTAATAATTCCACTTTGGATTACGTACCCCTGTATATACATACAATTAGTCATTAATTATCAATTCCTTCAGTAAAAAAAATTAAAACAGTTAATGTACCTTCGGACTTTGATTGACAAACCGATATGATTGAAGTACTACTCGTATGTTTTCCATTTATAATTATTTACGAGTAATCAATGTTATCATGAAATCCATTTTATGCCACTTTAAAGTTTAGTATATCGCACGGTTGTGAGTTGTTTACAGTGTTCCGTCATCAACTATCAACAAAAATGGAGGATATAGACGGAAATAATGTTTTAGCTCAAGCTCTGAAGAAACAGGTAAGACTGTTATTTTAATACTACATTTCAGATATTATGTATCGTACCTATCTTTGATATTAAAAATCACCAGGTATTCCAAATATCAGTATCTTACAGTTTGTTATTATTCTTTTCTGTCAGGGCAAGGTCATTCCACACTTAATAAAATCCATATTAGAGGTCATGTTGTCAAGTGTACTTTAATTAGCACAAAATGAATATTTCTCAACGTTTTTGGAAACATATTTCAAATACAATGGTGTTTTTTAGATTTAATAAGAATTTGATGTGTGAAAATATTATCTAAAACGTAGTTTATTTTCAAGCACCAATAAAAATAACACTTAATTCATAAAAAGTCACGTATTGTATATGTACTTTGCTTTAAAATTGTAGTAATTAATATAGAAATATATTGGCGACAGCAAAATATTGTCTAATTACCTATAATTAATTGTAATTATGACTAAATTTTTTATATAAATCCTTCCAATGTAATATTTCACAAAATACTAAAGGTACCTATTTAAGAAATATGTAGTTCACAAGAAATCTGAGTGATTTGACAACACTGTACAATACAGATTTCTAATGCACTAGGTTACAAAGAATTTCACAGACTCACAGATGGAACCACTATCAACTACCTTATTTTATTTCTAATTTGATACCACATTTAAAATTGCTGTTACAGTTTATGAATTTAAACAGTAACATAAGAACTTACAGTTATAAACTATTTTTAGTTCTACTATAAAATGATAACATTATCTGCTTCTTTAAAAAAATAATTCATTTTGTAATATTACAGTTTTGTAAAGGTTAAGATTGTCAACAGTACTGCATTATATGCATACTATAGGACTAAAACGTTTGTTATATTAGTATATTAAAATACATTTACCCACAGTTACCTTATAAGCGGACTTTTTCTATCCACATATATGAACCATCTAAAGTGATACTTTATGCACTAGTGGAATAAAGTAACTTTATTTCACTAGTAGAATAATAAAAAAATAATAAACCTATAATAAATCAAATTTAATTTATTTACTTATTTACATTAGTATTTACATGTATAGTAATAAACATTTCGTTTTTTGTTTTATCATACTTAACTTCCTTTCCGTTAATAACAACCCTTGTAGCATTGTTGCCATCATTTTTGCATAACATCTGCCGAAGTTTGTGAACAATTTGCACAAGTTACGGATGTCTCTTCTTGTACGGAACAGCTATATTTTTCATGAATTTTCCTTGCAATATCAAGTTTGTTAGATATAGACTCCTCAACATAACTTTCTGTTACATAAGGAGCTCTTCAATCCACCATGCCGTTTGATGGTTGTAAGATCAGCACCTTTATTGTCCAATAGAGTTGTTGAAGTGCGCCTCATACAATGGCCAGTATATGCTTCTGGATTTGCTATATTCAGGAATGAAGCAACTATTGAGGGTACTTTCGCCAATGTGTTGATTCCAACAGGTTGAAAAGTACATTTTTGACTGATGTGTCTTAAAAAGAATCTGTTATGTGTTAGTAGAATTGGGCGCAGAGAAATATATTTTTTGCATATTTCAACAGCATTGACGCAACATCCTTCTTCTATAATTGTAAATTTTCTTGAAATATCTATCTTGGTGTCAGGTATTGAAACAAGTAGGTAACTAACATTTTCAAGGGGAAATGGTCACGAACTACCACTTGCAAATACGGTTAATGAGCCAAAATCAGTAAATCATTTGTTGTTTCTGGGAATCACAATTGATTCGCGTCTGGATTGGAGGTACCATGTTGATTCCTTAGAGCGGAAAATGGCCCAATATTGTTAAGCGTTAAAGATATTGTCTCAAAATATTAATGTTGAAGCAGCTTTTTCGGCATATTTTGCTTATATACAATCCAGAATTAAATATGGAATTATTTTTTGGGGCATGTCCTCTGATGCGAAACGAATATTTGTTTTGCAGAAGAGATGTCTTAGGAATATTTTAAATATGACTCAAAGAGAATCCTGCAAGAATCTTTTCATTTCTAAGAACGTGCTCATATTAATAGGTTTGTATATTTATCAGGCAATCATCTTTGTAACTGAAAACAGATCCTTCTTCGACAGCTACCAAAAAGAACACGCGTACTATACAAGGAATAAAGATGTGTTAACGCCGAATGTACCTCAATTTACTTACATCCAAAAAAATATACCTCACTCTATAATAAAAGTTTTTAATAAGTTACCTAACAGTACTAGTGCTTTACCTATTAAGATTCTGAAGAAGAAATTGAAATCATTTTTGGCAGCGAAGGCTTATTANGCTAAATTGCGGAATACAGTGAGGAATGTCCTCCTTGATGTCAGCCTTCTGTTTGGAAACCTTCTGCCGTACTCGCGTTCTGCCGCGCAGCATTACCATCGCAAAAGCCATAAACAAATCATCATATCATAATTGTTCTACATCAATAATGTGTATTACTGATTACGTATTAAATTATTATTATTATTTTTTGTTTAAATTACTATGAAATTGACCAAAGTGGGATTAATTCAAGAGCGATTTTCTCAGAAACCGTTAAAGATAACGATTTGAAACAAGAGTACCTTTTTAACGTAAAACAGTTCGGGAAAACGGAATTTGCTGTCCAATTTGTTAAAAAGTCAAAGATGAAAAAGTTACACACGCAAAGTACCAAGGGCCCCCCCGTACCCACCCCAATGGACCCTGTGGAAATAAATGGATTAGTCCATCAAATTGCTCATCAAAATTTAGCTGTGTATACCAAATTTCATTCATTTATCACAACGCGATTGAGAGAAATTGCAAAAAAATGATTTCCATTCCTCCCTCTTCAATGGGTCCCTGTGCCCTTAGGAAGCATTTCTCGGGCCCATTGTTTCACAGAACCATGGACCTCATCATTGGTAGAAAACCTTTTTCCACCCAGAAACACCTTCAGAGAAGAGATGAAAATCAGAAGGTATCAGGTCAGGGCTGCGAGCGGGATAGTAGATGATGTTCCGAGCGAGAGAATCCAAGAGTGGCGTTGACTGTGTGGAAAAGTGCACTGTCTTACAACAAGCACACTCCTTTCATTAACATTCCCCTTCTTTTGTTCTCTATCGCCCCCCTTAGTGTTTCCAGGGTTTTACAGTATCACGGAGCATTAACTGTTTCCCCCTGGGGGCAATGAAGAGAATCCCTTTATGGGCCCAAAACACAATTGTCATGATTTTTAGGACAAAACAAAACAACGGTTTTAAATTGTTTCGGATGTCGCCACTGCATTGAGTGTTTTTTCGTATCAGTGAGCCACCCAGGTTTCGTTGCAAGTCACATTGCAGTCAATAAGAAACCGGATTACGCCCCTCACCTCGCAGCTTGCGGGATTCAGAATAGGGACACTCATTTCAACACGCCACTACAACAACAGTTCTCAACTGACTGAGACAAATGAGCGCACGTTCTACTCCCAACATTGAATGCAGTTTTGCCAACTTTGTCGAAAACAAAAACCACAGAGCATCAGAGTCTCAGTAGGTACTTTCAATTTGTGGATATTTCTCGTAGATAGTCTGTTATGATAATTTACATAAACAGGTTGTAAGTAAGTTGTGAAACAATTAAGAAGGTGGTCTTTCGGGATTCTTTCATTAGGAAAAATCTCTTCGTTCTCTCTTTGCCGATTCATAGCCCTTCAAACGGGGAGGGAAAATTTTTGTTTTTATGAACTTCCTTAAATATAAAGAAACTTACAAAATTAAAATTACGTATACATTTGCTATCATTGAAAAAACTGGATAATTTCTTGATCTTCCCCTTTGGTTGCAAGGGGTACAAGTAATCACCTTGCAAGTAATTTCTTGGGAAACTTTTTTCTACCACCAATATGGACATTTAAAAATTTAATTTTAAATTGTTTGATTTATTTGAAACAAATTTTTTCGTAAATGTAATAGTTTTTGAGCTAATAATAAAACAGTTCATTTAGAATTTTGCTCCATGGGAGAGCTTTTACCACAAAAAAAATAGATTGAAAAGAATATCATGAAAATATTTTCTTAAAATATGTACCTGGTTGCAGGGTATCGAATATGTATTCGGAATAATAGGATACCCAGTCATAGAACTCAGTATGGCTCTACAAATGGCCGACATACATTACATAGGCATGAGAAACGAACAAGCGGCTTGCTACGCAGCTCAAGCGATTGGTTACTTGACAGGGAATCCTGGAGCAGTTTTGGTAGTGTCCGGACCTGGATTGCTTCACACATTCGGCGGTCTGGCTAACGCCCAAATCAACTGCTGGCCGGTCCTGGTTATCGGAGGATCAGCTGCACAGGATCACGAGGGTATTGGAGGATTTCAGGAGTGTAATCAGGTAAAATCAAGGACGAAAGGTAAAAACAATCCCAAGTAAATCTAATTCAATTTATTTCTAAAAATTTGTTTAAAGGAAAGTTTTAAATACATGTATGTGATGTAATTTTGTTTTATACGCTATGCAGCTGTCTGAATTAAGACGTTTTATTAGACACAACTCACGAAAGAGCCTAGAAGGCAAGTCTAATTCACTTTTTAATTCAAATTCATGACCAACTTCGACATTTTATTCAATTCGAAAATTAGATAAGTATTATTGGTAACCTCTTTTCAACAAATTGTTACTACGATAGCTCAATATTTAAATTACCAATTTCTGCAATACATCCCTGTAGTGTTTTAATAATTTGGGCACATATATCTTATTATCCCACTTCTGACACCAATTTTTAACAACGAACACATGCAATTTCTGAACGTTTTTTTATAACTACATTGTTTCCTAAACTTCTGAGTGTTCTTCAAGGTATGTTAATTTGCAATTGCAACTCTTTTTTCTATTGAGTTCAAATAACACCAGGATTTTAGACAAACTTTAAATATTCCCAAAAAACATTCAAAAATTATATTCATTAATTTTTTAACAATATGTTAAGCCTAATACCCAAGATTTTGTAAATGAATGCGAAATGATACATGTGGTTGAAATTATTATCATTAATGCAATTTTCAGGTCGAACTTGCCAGACCTTACTGTAAATATTCAGCACGACCTCCCAGCATTTCGTTGATACCCCTCCACGTTGAAAAAGCAGTTCGTTTGACTAAAAATGGCAGGCCAGGAGCTGCATATTTGGATTTTCCAGCCAACATTTTATCAGGTAAATATAAATTCACTGTACTTTATACTTCAAACAGAATTTGAAATGCAAATATAACCAATTTTTGTATAGTGTACCAATATACAGTAAGTTTCATACCCTGTGTTCAAAAAGTTTGGAACCCCCCCTCTATCTCAGAAAATATTGCTTAAACAAAAAAATTATTAGGACAAAAGTTGCAGGGTTTTGAGTGAACAATCCAACGGTAACCTTGACCATGACCTTGAAGATCATTTACAGGTCAAGTCGATTTTTAATAAATTCAAAAATGACCTGTACCATGTCTTTGACCACGACCTAAAGGTAACTGTAACGTCAAACGTAAGCAAAGAACTTAAGTTTAATAATGCTCTTACGAAAAAAATTTAACGCCAAAAATTTTCGTAGCTATCGGATAGTGATATTGTTATGACCTCGTACCTACTAAACGACCTCCAGGTTACAGTCAAGGTCACCGTTTGATTGCGCACTTTTAACTCTAATATCTCGGTAATTTTTCCGGTGATGAGACAGGCTGTTGGAAATACTGTGACCATTTCCGGGCTCAAAAATATACGGTTCCATTAACATTTTTCAGGTTGACCGCTAAATGACCTTGAAGTTCATGATCAAGGTCACCGTTGGATTTCTCACTCAAAATCCTGCAACTTTTGTCCTAACCATTTTTTTGTTTGAGCAGTATTTTCTGAGATAGAGGGGGGAGGTCCAAACTTTTTGAACAACCTGTATATGTACATATTTGGACAAAGATTTGTGGACAAGGCATTTAAATATTTTTTTTTCATTCTTCGGTAATGTTTGAGTAACATTTATCTAAATAATCCCCTGTCCACCTTCTGGGACAGTGTGCAGCCTTTGGGAGAATAAGACATAAAGTCTTTGGTGCTGAAGAGCTGCAAGGGGTTAAGGTGAGAGATCTTCCATGGACCAAAATCCTGGCGTTCATTAGGGAGTCGGGTAGGTTAGAGGAGGGTCAAAGGCAGAGAGTGGTTAGGTGATGGGACGGCGGAGAAGGCAAAAAGGGCCCACTCGTGGCCTAATTGCCAGGCTGAGGCCGCCCCTTTACTATTACTACTATCTAAATAATCTATTAGGATGACCAGGATGATGAAATTTTGTTGAGGCTCAACCGATTTTTTTAAAAAAAAAACTAATAGCAGCACAAAAAATAACTGCAGTTGGTTATTATAAAATAAATAGGACATACCTCTGACAACCTTTCACAAGACCTGTCTTATAAAAATAAATTTTCCAAAATCGGTCAGTGTTTAAGCAGAACGTCCTGTACATATGCAGGGTGATTTCATTTTAAATACAGAAACTGCAGGAATAGATTAGTTGTCAAAAATAATAATTTGTTCTATAGACTTTTTCCATAAAAAATTATATATTCTGTCTTACTTTTATAATGCGCTGAACGATTTGAATGAAATTTACTACAGCGTATTATCTTAATTAAAACTTTTAGCAAATGTAATATTAACATCGTGGCATTAACCAGTGGCGTACTAGTCGTACTACTGAAGGTGCCACTCCGTTTTCCATAGAAAAAAATACGCCACTGGCAGTTTTTGTAGAAATAATATTAAATTTAGGTACTGTTACGTTAAATATACAGGGTGGTCCGAATTTTATGCAGGAAACTTCGAGGGCATATAGATCTCTTTAAAATAATAGGTGTTTGCCTTATAAACATAGGTCTGGAACGGCCTCGTTTTAGAGATACAGGGTGTTGAAGTTGTTAAAAAAATTTGATTTTTTGTTTATATCTCCGGAATCTATTAACCGATCTTAATAAAATTTGGTATAGATAATGTATGACAGTAAGCCTTACATTTCCTAAAATATGAGCTCTAAAGGTTCAACCAGTGGTGTACAACTGGACAGGGGCCGCCCTCTTTTTATAAAAAAAACTACGCCACTGTATTTTTTGCAAGTTATTGTAACGGATTTATATTCTAATGCACTAAATACGTAAAAAAGGTAACTTGAAATTTTTCCCTAAGATTCACCGTTCTCAAGTTATTCATACAAATACAAACCCCTTGTGGCAGACACTTCAAACCATAATATTACAAGAATATTTATGTTTATACTTAAAAGGAAGTGCAATTTGTAAGCAGATCAACAAAATTATTTCCACATCACCTGTGAGGTAGTGTTCCTAGTGTATTTTAGTTTCTCCTGGAGGCTTAATCCACTATCTTTACAAATAAGGACAATTTAAATGAAAATAATAATAAAAATACATTTACCAAGCAACGACAATTAAACAAGAAATGAAATTAACGTTACGTATTTGCAGCAATTGTTCAAAATGCGAACCATCCACATCGATACATTTCTGACAATTTCTATTAATGATTAATGGAATTACCTAACTAATATCATGTGGTGGTTTTCTTTTAATTCATTACACCCCTCTTCTATTCGCTGCAGTAGTTGTGGTGGAGTAGAGTAAACTTTACTTTTCAGATAGGTAACCCCAAACGTAGAAGTCCAGGGGGTTTAGATCTGGCGATTTGGCTGGCCAAGAGACTGGATTCTCTGCACCATTATGGTTGACATTGGCATTTGGTCTTCAACCTATCCATCGCCCCATATAATTTTTAAGCCATTATTGTATTATTCTCCTAAAATGCGCAGGAGCACCATCCATTTGTATCCAGCTATTTTGTGGTATATTTAATGGAACATCCTCTAATAATTCAAATAGATGGTTTTCTAGAAAGTTTAGAAATGCTGGGAATTTAGACAGGGTGACAAGAAATTAGGTCCGAATTATTCCGAGCACAGAAAATTCATGTTGAAAAGATCTTGTCCGATTTTCATGAGGATTTTCTTGTGACCAAATATTGTGAAAATTCACTACCCCTCGCCTTGTGAACGTACCCTCATCGGTCCAAAGTATTTCTAGTAGGAATTCTGGATTATGTTCTGACTTTAAAACAACCACTAACAAAAAATTCAGGTGTGTCTACTTCTCCCGGAAGTAAATTTTGCACAGGTTGTAAATAGTACGGATTTCTACCATGTTTATATAGAACTTTTCAAATTTTCGATTTACTCACCCTAATGTTCTTAAAATTTCATTTCTGTGTCTTTCATTGCGCCGCCGTTGTGATTTTCCAAATATCGTTTTAACCCAAAAGATGAAAACGACGAGTGTAAAGAATTTTGTTGATGTGCTTACAAATTGCACTTACTTTTAAGCATAAACATAAATATTCTTGTAATATTATGATTAGAAGTATCCGCCACAAGGAGATTGTATTCGTATGAATAACTTGAGAACGGTGAACTTTAGGGAAAAAATTCACGTTACCTTTTTTACGTATTTTGTACATTAGAATATAAATCCGTTACAATAGATTGTAAAAAATACAGTGGCGTAGGTTTTTTTTATAAAAAAAGGGTGACCCTGTCCAGTTCTACACCACTGGTAGATCCTTTAGAGCTCATATTTTAGAGGATGCAAGGCCTACTGTCATCCATTATCTGTGCCAAATTTTGTTCAGATCGGTTAATAGATTCCGGAGATATAAACAAAAAATTAATTTTTTTTAACAACTTCAACACCCTATATCTCTAAAACGAGGCCGTTCCAGACCTATGTTTATAAGGCAAACACCTATTATTTTAAAGAGATCTTACCCTGGAAGTTTCCTGCATAAAATTCGGACCACCCTGTATAAATGAGTATTTCTCGATGTTTTTTAATAGTAGTAGCCGACCATAATGCGCAAATTTAGTCCACATGCTCATATTTGTTTAAAATCCATCTGCAAAAATTGATTCTTTTGTCTGCATTATCAGTTAGTAAGCTTTACGCTGATCTAGTTTTAGTATTATAACTAGCTTTGTTTATTTATTCCTGAAGCAGCAATCCATCTTGAGCTTATGAACACGAGACGAATTGTGACAAAGAATAGACGAAAATTGTAATCTCCTCAGGAAAAAATCATGCCATGATAAGTTCCTCTATGAATAGCCTGATTAGAATATGTCAAAAGTGTATCGATGCGGAAGGATTTCGTTTTGAACAATTGTTGTAGGACTCTTTATTTAATTACTTACCCGACCTATTTGATAATTTTATTATTTAGTTTGATATTTTTTCTTGAAATAAAATTATTTTTACAAAAAAACACCAGTAGCGTATTATTTTCTTAGGCAAAGTTGCCGGACGTTTTAGTTGTACGTCACTGGTTAAAACCAGAAGGTTTTCATAAAATAAACGGATTAATTTATTAGGAAAATTGATTAAAACGTAAAAACAAGTCCAAATATCTTCTATGCGGCTGTTACTATTAAACAACAACAATAAACATTTCTCATTCATTCAGCGTAATAGTATCTGAATGTAACATTATTACTTGGGGAAATGGGGCGGCACCCTATATCTCGAAGACCGAGTCACGCAGGAAAAAGGTTTATAGAACAAATTCTACTTATTTTTTGGTAATGAATCTAGACCTGCAGTTTCTGTATTTAAAGTGAAATCGCCTTGTATACACAAATATTATTTAATTTATAAATATTACCAAAACTGATATTTATAATAGCAGCATTATGGTTATTAAGTCGTAGCAATAACAGCATTGCATTGGTAAAATATTCACCGTATTTATTGACATTTGAACTGTGACTAATTTATTTTCTATTTCTATCTTAATTTTTTTGCAATTCAAATATATTTGAAATGAAATGTTTTATTTATAAGTAAATAGTTGTAAAAACTTTACTTCGAGAAAAATTAAAGATAGATCATGGCAGTTGAGGGAATTTAATTTTATTCGTACATACATACATATCAATATACACAGGGTGTTCACAATGTTAACAAAAATTAAAAGCAAAATGTGCTCAAAAAATAAGGAGAAAGTTCATACGAACATATGGGAATAAATTTTGTTTTTGTTTACATCTTACAAATAGATTGACGAAATGAATACAAATTTGGTACAGGATATTTTCAAATAGGTCAGCGCGATTTGAACATCACGAAAACAAATGAGATATTTCAAGGGCGGCAGAGATTCAGGGGTATCTTTGTATTTCTACGTCACTGAAGTTTCCTTAAAAATAATAGCATTTTCTGAACGAGTAGCCCTGGAACAACAAATTTTACGAAAGCACAAGTTTATTTTTGATCGTGTGTTCTTATAAAAAAGTATGTTATTTATATTGTTTCCATTTTTGGTTCAAATAAGTTCATTAGTTAAAGGTTTAGTGTTCTTTGATTTTCATTGTTTGCTTCTGTTACACATTTATTTAATAAATCATAAAAAAATACCACTGCACAACAATACAGAAATGGCAGAGGCAATCATACACTTTATAGTATAGTATAGACGTGCCAGTTCCTCTTGCTCAAATAATTACCAGACTGCTCCGGAACAGTGCAAAATTTGGAAAGAAAAGGAACACCATGAAAATATCGCTTGGGGGATTGCGGCTTAGAAAACAGATACCATATCCCTACTACATCCAACAAATATAAGATTCAGACCAGACATTGACGTCAGATTAACATTTTGAAAATAGAAATTTAGTAGGAAAAGTGCATTGGATGTGGTGCACTGTTTCAATATCCACCTAGGTCACCTAACCTGATTATCCTGAAGTTTTTACTTAAAAGCTTGGTGTATTCCAAACCGGTATATTTAAGTGAAACATAATGCATTTAAGATGTAAAGCCTGCACTGACATGCAGGGAAAATAATTTAAACACCTCTAACAATGTATTTTGCATGAAATAAAACTGTTAAACCTCTCAATTTATGATCCACTTTTTTAATTTTAAAATCCTGTATCAAACATATTCATAGGAACTTTTTTTCCATTTCAATGAGAGCATTATTCAAAAGTGATCTGTTGACAATTTGTGTTGTCATACGCATACCGTCAAGAACTGCTCAAAAAGTTACTTTTTTATCATCGCCATCGACCACATAAACTTAAGAAATGTACCAAATTTGAATTCATTTATTCAACCCGTTAGAAAGATTTTGTTTTTGTTTTAAAATTGTTTTACATATTTTTAACACCCTATCTGCAATTATACTTAAAAATAATATTAATGTGATAATATTACTAAGCTCTTGTGAATTTTGGAAATAGATATGGGCATCAGACGCTATACCTATAAATTATCCGGAATTTGTGTTTTATAAAATCTTTATACAGGTCGCGTACCTGTGGATTCAATTCCTGATCAATATGGACCAACAGCTGCGCCAATCATCTATCCCAACCCAGGAGCTATACAAGAAGCTGTTGCTGTTTTATTGAAAGCTAAAAGGCCTCTAGTCATAGTTGGGAAAGGCGCAGCCTATGCAAGAGCAGAAAAAGAAGTGAGGGAACTGATAGATTCCACAAATTTGCCATTTTTAGCTACGCCAATGGGAAAAGGGGTAATTCCAGATACGTCACCAAAATGTGTAGCATCTGCCAGGTAACAGCTCACGTGTTTGCTTAAATATGAATAATATCAGTAAAAGTGAATGATCTCGAATTATTAGGCAAATGCGTAGATTCAGAGCGCTTTTTCAATTTTTTTGTCGAGATGACATCGAGAAGGTATTAATCACTAACATGATTTTCTTATTTTAAATAGTTCTCTACGTCCAAGAAGATCTTCTGACTTTGATGTAAACCATTTAAGCTGTTTAACTTAGGACAGTTCAAAAATTAAGCAAAAATATTTGTTTAATATTATTTACATCATCCTTTTCCATTGCAACCATCCTTATTGTGGATTTTCATGACCTTAGAATTCCTCACTTAACTTTAGCTTCTTAACTAGGCTCCAAAGCCATGAGGTGGCTTCCAGCTTTCGGTTTTTCTCTTCTGAATAATAATCTGCGCACCCTTGTCAGGTCTTGATACTCGCATAACATACGGAATGCCACCACCCCTTTCTCCTGATAAAATCTACATGGGTAGTCTTTTACCAGAGCCAGATGATTCAGAAGTTTCAAGAGTCTGCAGTACACGTTAAAAAACGATCCTAAAAGTTAGTAAATGGTTTTTATATCCATACTGATCCTTCTTTGTGCAATATTCTACTGCCCTTTGAAACTGGCTGGACTTCTTTTCCAAACCGTTAAACTTATTCAAGAATCAAGAATTAAAAATGGTGCATTTATTATTAGATCTTGTTGTATTATGTTGCATTTTGTATATTTGAAATCTATAAATTTGTATTTAAATAAAAATGCTATGAACTTAGGCATTAACTGTGAATAGGCAATCAAATTCACAAAAAAGGTTTTCTCATATTTCCTAGGGTGTTTTTTTCTTAGATCCTTAGCGTTACAGAGGGCAGACGTGATAATTCTCCTGGGAGCTCGTCTCAATTGGATCCTGCATTTTGGACGACCTCAGAGATTCTCCCCAGATGTTAAAGTAATACAGATCGACATCTGTGCGGAAGAGCTTCACAATAGCGTCAAGTCCGAAGTTGCTATTCAAAGTGACATGAAACCTGCAGTTGCTCAGATTCTAGAAGGTCTCCAAAGGAATAAGTTCGTATTTAGTAGCCAGAACGAGTGGTGGAGGGAACTGGAAAAGAAATGTCAGGATAATAAGAAAATTGTGCAAGTAAGTTTAACAATATTGTATATAAAGAATTTTGAAAGGTATCTTATTCAGATATTATTCAAAGGCTGTTTTAATAATCCATTATTGATCATTTTTATACATAGTATGTATATTTTCCTCTTTTTAAAATAAACAAAAAAAATAGAGTAACGTTTTTCCCTAAAAGGTTCTTAAGGATATTGCGATTCTTCAAAGAATGGACATGAAACAATTTTTGATGAATAAAATGCTGTTTCCAGTACTTAATCCAAACAACACAAATCTGTTAAAAACATGTTTTTATAATATTTGGAATACTCCCCTACCCCAGCGATTCTGGATATGGGACGTTTGAAGGATCTCTTATGTTACAAATCAGGATATTTTCTAAATATTCCACGGCATGTTCCAGGGATATATGGTATGTTTATATTATATCCATTTGTGCCACTCTGAGGATCTTTCGGGATATAGCAGATCCGAAGGGTATCTTATTCATACAAATTAGCCTATCGCCAACATTTTTCCCAGGAAGACATGGTTGATGTTAGGAAGTGACAGTAGAATATATTTATGTATGTTTATACATTGAGGGTTGCTTTCGCTGTACAGCAAGAATAAAACGCTCTCTCAACGGGACAAATAAACTATTTTTTATTGAAAACTAAGCTTGTGTAGAAAAAGTAATGTTGTCGGTTTGAGGGTTTGCTGGAGAGTGCCCTGTGGTTGAAGTCGGTGGTAGGTATATGAATTCACATCTGATGGCCGGCGCCAAGATGGCGCCTATTGACGTTGTACTTAAAACTGGGTCACTTGCAACATGTGTACCCACAACATCAATTCTTTGAATTATTTCAGTTTTTACTATCATATTAAATATATTTAAGTACAATTAAGTTGAACAATAAAATGATTGAATTACAAATATCCCACACAAATCATTTTTCCGAAATTTAGGGCTCTGAAGAATTAATTTTTTTTTATTTGTTTATACTAATTAACGTTCTTCTTATGAGGAAAATATGGATTATAGCTAAATAAAACTATTTTCAACTTATAAAAATGAATAAAAAGTGAAAAATTACCCGTTATATTGATTTACAGCAAAAACGACAAAAAACATTCCGGCATTAGGAAACAAAATCGCAATATCGATTATATACAAAGTTATGCCAAGTTATTCAAATATCCCTAATTATGCAATTTTTTACATTTTTCCTACCAATATCTTCACTTCGAAAATTTTTTTTATAAAAAAAAACAATAATTATGCAGTTTTCTAAACTCTACTTGGAATTTCTGTGCGATCATTATTTACTTTGCTTGCTTTGATCGGCGATAACTCCAGAACCGCTCAAATTGAACGTAATTAAATTATTTAAGAGCTTTATGGTGAAATTACCAAAATAAAATTAGTCTTTTAAATACAAGTAAATTTTTTGGAATTTTTTTTTTGTTGGTTTTCTTATAATTACTCAAAAACCGCTGATGCTAAAAAATTTTAAACTCCAGATCCGAATACTAGAAACATGAAGCTTCAATTTCCTTTTTTTGATTATCTCTATGACCATTTTCCTCTTAGTCAGAGATCTTTGAAAATCACTCAAATATTTGGATTTTTTTAATATCTCTTTAATTTTTGTGACTTGAAACAATCCATTCTGTTCTCAGATCATCTCAACTGGGTCGACTGAAAGGCTCAGGCTATTATCTCAAGTTATTAACAAAGTTTATTGAGTTCACTGAGAGGTATAAATCCCCACTAGAGGGCGGCTTGTTTATGCATAATTTAAATACTCAATGGAACGATTATATTGATTTTTTGGGTATGTCTATTGACTCAAAATTAACATGGGAAAATCAAACTGAGTGCATTTGTAGTAAGCTCAATAAGGCTTTCTATGCTGTATACTCGCTGAAAAGATATTTAAATTATTATGCTTTATTAAGTATCTACTATGCTATGGCATATTCTGTAATTAGCTATAATATTGTCTCGTGGGGACAGGCAACTGAAATAATGCGTATATTTGTAATTCAAAAAAGAATTATTAGGTTGATATTCGATTTGAAACCGCAGGAGTCATGCAGAGAGATATTTAAAAACATTTTAACTGTAACGGGGATATATATATTCAAACTGCTCCTATATATACACAAAAATAAAGATAATTATAAAGTAGTATCAGATATACATAATCACGGCACACGTAATAAGGCAAACTTTTATTTGGGTAAAGTTCAGCACAGTTTTACAAAAGATCCCCGGATTATGCAGGGTCTCGCCTGTATAAGATGCTACCACTGTATATAAAGAGCTTATCTCTAAATAAATTTAAAAATCATGTAAAAAATTTTATTTTGGACTCCGTTGTTTACAATATAGCTGAATTTGAAGATGTTCTTAAGCATAAATTTTAACATTTTTAACTGTTGAGTTGTTGTATTATAGCATAGTTTGTGTTGTGTTTTATTTTGTATGTGTGTATATGTGCGCATGTATGTATGTGTGCGTTTATGTATGTATTTATGTGTGTATATACATATTTACTTTTTTTCTACTCTAAATGATAACTAATTTACTGACTAGACTTACTGTTGGTAATACATGTCAATTGTAATTGTTATATGTGTTGCTGATTTTATTTAAAATTGTTATGTAGTATAGCAGATCTATAATGACGAATCTTCATGATGTAATAGCTAAGCAGGTAATAAAGAATCTACATATCTATCTATCTATTTATTTGTGGTAGGTACAGTTTTAGTTTTTTCCCTGTTTATTGATATTTTTCCAAATATTACCTAATCAAATATCACACAATGAAAAAAGCAAACAAGAGAAACTGTAGCATCACTATATCATACACTTCAATTGAAGACGAGAGAGAAGTTCAGTTTTTTTTAAATAATATTGTGCATATATGGAATCTGTGTGGTTAATAGAAACTGAACTATAACATAAAAACACTTATCCTGTGTTATAGACTAGTGCAAGAACAGGACAAGTTGCGTGTCAGTTATCCTCTCTTGCAGCACATACCTATGCATTGATTATTTCCTCTTGGCATTTGTTCTGATGAATAACGTTATAATATATGGAAAAACGTTCTGAATGTTACGACCAAACAGTCTGAAGTGTGCCTAGTATACGATATACCTTTAGACAAAAAGATGATAATTGTCGGTACGAAACAGAGAATGTTCTACTACTACATTTCAGGGATGTCCCAAAAAGTTATACTCTATTAAACTAATAATGGGACATCCTCCATATATTGCAAAATAATATACGAAAAGATATGTCGTGAAGACATTCGGCCACTGTGTTGGTATATGCGCCATTAAGAGTACATTAATGGGCCTTGGAACAATTTGTGCTATTTGGGTAGCAGCTACATCTAGATCTAAATCATGAACAAAATCTAACCAGTGGAATCGTCATTAGGAGACATTTACTCTTAGAAATCATTTTAGAAGAAAAACGTTACCCTTGTTTTTCTGTTGATAAAGGAAATCGGGTTCTCGCAACATCATTCTTATATCCTGTATATAAAACATATTATTTTCCTTGGTGATCTTGGTGGTCAATGAAATTTACACCCCGTTGTTTCAGGCTATGTCAGCAGATGTATCAACTCCACTGAACTACTATGCAGTCTTCCACAATTTATACGAAGCCTTGCCTGACAACTGCATAATCGTTAGCGAAGGTGCGAACACTATGGATATAGGAAGATCTATGCTGTTCAATAATCTACCACGGCATAGGCTCGATGCTGGAACATTTGGAACCATGGGTGTAAGAATTGCTTTTACTTACTTTATCTTATATATCCTACATTAGAAGTGCAGGTACATTTTTATTGCTAGTTCCAAATGAGTACAATGAAACAAATTTAAAACACATAACAGGCGGATCAAAGTCATTAGAAACATCCTTTACTAAACTAACTGTGAGCTATTTTAACTACACTGGTGTTTCTTTTCAAATTACTTTACGAACTAACCGACGGTTAACTGATATTTGTGATATAGATTTAATTTTTATTTTAAAGCACAGTTTCAAAAAAATAATGATACTAACATTTGCGCTTTATAGTCATTTTTAGAGAACGAAACAAACAATAATTTCCGTGTGCAGATATTCTTTCTATAAAAATGTAAAGTAGATTGTATTCTCCAGGTTGGACCAGGGTTTGCAATAGCAGCCGCTCTATATTGCAGGCATTACGAACCCAATAAGAGAGTGATTTGCGTAGAAGGTGATTCTGCTTTCGGATTTTCTGGTATGGAAGTAGAAACGATGGTACGTTATAAGTTACCCATCACCGTGGTTGTGGTTAATAATTCTGGTATATACACCGGTATGGAGCCGGAGATTTTCAAAGATATTCAGGAAAGTGGAGAAATTACCAAAGTGTAAGTACTTACATACATAGGGTGTATTTATATGAAAGATGCTACCAAATATTCTCGATACCAAAATATGATAATTAGGCCAACTATACCTTAGTCCAAAGTTGCCAGTTACAGAGTGTTTAAATATTTGACGGATATAAATTACATGGCGACTTAATCAAATAAAGGTACAAATTTGCTAAATTTATGTATAATTATATCAACCAGTGGTGGAGATACTGGGCAACAACCTCAAAAAGAACCAAAGAATTTCGACACGACTGTATCCGTATTTGGGAAATATTAAAAGTTCATGTCATTTGCAATGGCAAAAAAGATCCCTTATATTTGAAAACTAATAATTTTCGAGTTATTTTTTTTTATCTAAAATACAAATATTATACAGTTGAATAAATCGAAAATAATGCTAAATTAGCTTTAGGAACAATTAGGTCAGCTAAAACACCTCATATATTATGATATATGATTTATGAATTATAATGTATAGATTTATTATCGAATATTTTCTTTGACTTTTTAAGTAGTTTGTTTTTATTTCTCATTTTGTCAATTTTCTTATTTTTCAATTAAGTAGTTTGAAAGTTAGTATTAGTTTATAAAAATTTTCAGATTTTTGCAGACTTGTCAGTAAAGAAAATCTGTTTCAGTACACCACCAGGTTGTCTATCAAGTGTAACCCGTTACGACAATATGATGAGTCTTTTCGGCAGGGTAGGTTTCTTTGTACAAACCGTTCCTGAATTGAAGAAGGCTGTCAATGAAGCTTTAAAAATCAAAGATGGGCCAACTATTGTAAACGTCATAATCAACCCCACTGCTGATAGGAAGCCCCAGACGTTCAACTGGTTGACGGAATCGAAATTGTAGAATTGTTCGGTGTATTGTTGTATATTACTTATTTTTTTTATTGAATTATTTTCGTTGGTGTATTGTCGATTGTGAGTTTAATTAAAATTGTTGGGCTCTTAAAATTCGATGTTTCCTAAGAAAGTGTATCTTATTTTTATTATATTAGATAAGGTATAGTACATAGATATCTGATATTGACAATTAATAAAATTTAATTGAACTGAATTAAAAATGTGTTTTGAGGGACTACTGAACAGAGTTTATTTAAACCCTTTTACATGTTTATGGTAAACTCCAAATAAGTAAGGGACTATTTCTTAAGTAAAAAATGACAATTAAAATAATAATAAATATATTTGTAATTCTGGTTATCAGCATCTACAGATCAACGAAGGATACAACATAAAATCAGCTTTAACTAAAGAGTAATTGATTGATTGATTTAATATTCAAATTACGTGAACATATAAAAATCCATTATACCTGATCAGTCATTAACGTGCATCCTCCATTTATGGCTAACATTCCCAAAAAATTATCTCCGATTTATTTTTTATGAAAAATATGTCAAAAGCATTACCATTGAACATGTCGTACCTAGTCTGTGAAAAAAATAGAGTCTTTATGAACTTATTTTTCCTGTACGTGATCCACATTTTCTAAATATTTAGACCGTGACCAAAAATTTTCTTCAACGTCAAATAGCTGTTTTTGACAGTTAAACTATTCAAACCTTCCTAATTCCAATGGCACTGGTTCTTTCATTATATCTCGGAGAATGTACTAAGTTTTAAGTTTTCTCCAATGGTTCTTAACTTATTAATTTGTTTCACTTCCAGTCTTTGAAGGGATATGGAGCATTTATTTATCTTTAAAAAGCATATAATTCCTTTTTGTTTGTTTTGATGAGAAAAATCTGTGCTAATATTTTGTTGCAAAGTTACTGCGATTAGAGAAGTGATTGCTGGTACAACCTACGTACCTTCTGGACTCGCCCTAACTTTGCCAATGTAAACGGCAATCGCACAAACGTGTGCGAGAAAGATAGAGCTAGTGCGGGCAAAGGTCTAATGCTTCGTTCACAGAACGTCGACTGTAGGGCGCTCTACTTAATTCAACCAATCATCGAGGTATACTGTCCTCGATTCCTTACCCCATTTGGGCCGTACTCCCGCTTGAAGTTAAAATCATTTTAACTACATTTATGTTCAGATGAATAGAGGAAACGACAGATGACGAAAGACTTAATAAAATAATATACTCGTAAATACTAGAAGACACCCAATTTGACAAAACCGAATTATCCCTCAAAACTCAAATCCTATTCCCTCAAAAAGGTTATTTGAGGAAATGTATTCCTATGTATTTTTCGACGCTCAATCCGAATCCGAGGTCAAAAAATTTCTAACGCAAGAAACAACAACAAAGAATCAACAAAATAAAAGAAGAACAAAGTAGGTAGCTGCCACCCCTTTACGGGTACGGGCAAAGCAGTAGAGGGCTGTTCTGCTCAGTGCACTGCGACTATTGCGCAGTAAAAACAAGAAAAATTTGATCTCCCACATCTTCCTCCACCCCGTCCAGCAGAGTGTAATTTTGACCCCTTTAGGGGGTTGGTTCTTTGTCTGTGTCCACTCTTCACCATGTGTCCTTGGGGAAACCGTTGGCAATATTATATGAGAGCACGAGGGTTGCAAAGTGCCCATTCACATTTCTTTTCGTAATGATATTGATATTCATAACTTTATCCCTATTTAAGGGATATTTTTGGCTCTACACAAAAATTTAAGGGTTATACGAATTTTTTTTACCTCGGATTCGGAAAAATACATAGGAATACTATGGTCAGTTATCCAGATCACGACTTTTTTTTTGTGGGCCTGTGTAATTTAAATTCGGTTTATTATAATTTAATTGACAAAATTCTCTTGTAACAGTAGTTTAGTTTACTCTATATTTAGATTTTTTTCATAAACGTGATGGATTGAAATTTAAAAAAGGGGAGAAAAAGAAAAGTAAAGAGAAGTATGATATCTACACACTAGAACTAACGTACTTTTCAATTGTCATCCTGCTAAACAGTAGGACATTAGTTATAACAATCTTACTGTGACAGAAAATCGCACTGAATTGTTTTATGACCTATAAGTACACATATAAGTATCTACACATCTTCTTCTTAATATGTAGAATTGTTGAGTTGGACAAAAGACCTATCAAATTTCGGTGAGTGAGTACCTATTATGTTATTAAATTTAGAGCTGGCATTTGGTGGTAATTGAGACGGGAAAATATAGTGGATCTTTATAAAACTGCAATGCATAAATTAATAGTCTAATTAACAGTTTAGGTGAAACATGAGGTTGGGTGAATTACTTGACAGTGATGGTAAGGAATTTGTTTTATTTATTAATGGATTTAAGTTGTAACTAATTGGTAATGTACAAGGCTTTAAATGTCACTCCACCAAAAAATAGTTAAAAAGTAATGGGAATAAATTTTGTAGACGGATGTTCTTAAAAAATGTGACCAACAAACTTTGTGGTTATGTAAAACGAAACTCCATGTATGCTCTCCCATGTTTTAATAGACTAGTATAAGATATTTGATGGGTATTCCTGTAATTTTCCGAAATATATTGTTATTGGAACATGCCATGAAGTAAGGTGGCATGTTCTGACGGCCTTACATTTCTTATCATTGAAGATAGACCCACCCGTCAGTATCATAATATTGTAATCCTAAAAAGTAGTTATATTTAAATATGAAATAATATACCTTGTAGGTATTCCATTTAACAGAATGATAAGATTGATAAGGTTTGTTTTCCACTATTTTCAAGGAAGTTAAGTGGTTATATGTCATAACCTGCTCTGCTCTGTGTGTTTCTCTATATTTTGCATCCTACCGCTATTATCGTTGAATAGAGTCATACAAAAGTTGTGCATTTGTTGTACTTGTAAATAAATTCCTATTCTAATAGCTGATAGTTCAAATTTTAGTCATTTTAGTTAGAGAAAGATTAGAGTATCAAATATGTATATTGACATCATCGTCACTGACTGACTGTGCTTTTCTATAATTTCTTAACCATTGAAAAATATGAAAAAAATTTTTATTTTACGAAAAAAATTCATTCTTGCTACAAAAATCTGCTTATGTTCTAAGTTAAGTGGCATAAATAACCAATTCATATTGAACATTTAATATGTACAGGGTGTTGTCAAATCGTTCCAACAACCACTGGCATCAACGACAAAAAAAAAGAAATTTGTGTGTGGAAATCGAAAGCGATTCCGCTTGGTTAGAAACAACCCGTATCGTATTTTTATTTCTAAAAAATTAAGTAAACTTTGTCACAAGCAAAAGAAAACATTTTCTTTGTAATTAAAGTGTTTTCTCCATAAGAGATATCAAAAAACGTCATTAGAAACAGTTGTTGAAAGAAAAATTATTTCCATGTTACAAATCTGAATGCAATGACCCTACTGCGAAAGTGCCTTCTTTATGTTAAAGACCAGGAGAAGTTGTAACAGAAGTTATTTAGAATTAAAATGTATATTACTTAATGTCCCAAACGGAGACAAGTAGTTCTAGTTTCTACAATTGAATAAAAAAATATAAAGCAGGTCGATTATGTTTCAATTTCAATTTCAATTTCAAAGTTATAAACATTTGCTTATAATTTTCTTTAAATATCTTGTTATGAAAAGGATAGTCTACCCTCACATTAAAGATTTTTGGTCCTGACAAGGACTACTTGATTTTTCAGAAATAAAAATATGCTACACTTTACTTTTTAGTTATCCAGTATCGTTTCCCAAAATTAAAATATTTACTAAAACATCAACTATTATACAGGGTGAACAATAAATGTATACAGGTTGTTCTGTAAATAATGGTATCCCCTCCAACAAACGCAAGAATTTTTTAATTCGTTTCGTTTTCAACATACAAAATATATCACATTTTCTGAAATATCTCTGAGGATGTTTGATGTAAACCGTTGAAACTTTGGTCACTAATTCATTTAAGAAGAAGTAAAACCTTACTAAGTCGTCATAAAATTATGTTAACCAGTGGCGGAGATATGAGGACTCAGTACCTCTAGGAGCCCCAGAATTTCGACAATTGAATTTTTAAGGAAAAACATCTCTTACATTTTGCCCGCACAACGTACAGACTTAAGAGTCCCATTTTTTATATTAAAGTGAGCTTGTTAAGTAAATGTAAAATAACTCCAAAACTATTCGTTCTACAAAAATAGTATATGAGAATTTTTTATTAGAAATACAGTTTTAAAAATATAACGTAATGTAACAAAAGTTCATAACATTATTGGTGTAGAAATTTTCAACTTTTCTAAGAGAATGAAATTTGGTATACATTTTTTAACAAGCAACTATCTACTTGTTTTGTACTGAAGAATCAGGCAAAATTTCAAATTTGGATTTTTTATTCCTGATTTTTTTCGCAAAAAACTATAAATTATATGTTTTACGCAGTTAATCCTACATTATTTTATGCTATAAGTATATAAGTAGAACTTCTTAACAAGAATGGCATTTTCATAAAATGAAAAATAAAAAAGCTTATTACATTTTCTACTTTTTTAAATAGGTAATGTAAGTAATTATAAGGAATATTTCTTATTACATTTTTGAAAAAATGTGCTTATGGATTGATCCACTAGATTATAATGTAAAATGTTAGGCAGTGAATAGACTTTTTTATAGAGATATGTCATTTATAAAATTAATGGTAACTTGTCAAGTACATTCACCTCTTAAGCTCTCAGGAACTGTCCAAAGCAGTGCCTAAAGCAGAACAAACAAAGGTCCAGACACGAGCTTAAGCAGGAAAATACCCTTAATTAATGAAATGTTTGTCCGTAGTACGCCACAAAATAAATTGGGTGCATGGTTGTGAGTGAGAAATAAAACAAGAAATTAATTCCTACATTAATTTATCCAACGATAACCGTCCAAATCACTTGACAAATATCACTCACAACATACTAAAATTTATAAAAACGAATGAATATCATGAAGAACGCATGGATTTATAATACAATATCACTCTTTTGCAAATTTAATTTGACGAACATCATTACAAAAATAGTTATTATAAGTAGGTACAAATTAACATTCATTTTTCTATAACAAATATAAGCGAAAAATCAAAACAATATGGCCGTATAACAAAAACACTCTTACTAACGTAACATTCTTTCTATTTTTTTTTTG